CATTTGTATTTAGCATTATTGATTGGCTGTCCATAGATCATCACAGCTGTATTAAGGTCAGAAGATAAAGTGTCATTAAACTTTTTCCTATAGATGAAAATAAGGCTGCAAGATGTTATTGTTACTGTCTACTGTCAGGGACTGGATTATCATAGAATAATTTCAAAGAGCTTTGGTTAAGAACTAGACTAATCAGAGAACCAGGTTCCATATTAGTCCACAGACACCTTGAAAAGAGCAGTTTTTCTATTTCTTAGTTTCCCTATCTCTTAAAAAAAATAGCCAAGGAAGTTCCCTTCTAGCTCTAATGTCCAAATACCTCTGATTCTAGTGCCTCATAAGGTATATTCTGTTCTATGCTTAGTGTTTTATAGGTCAAGTTTGTGCCCAAGTTTTGCACACACATTATTTCAAGAGTATATGAGTTAAACAGGCCAACTTGTATATTAACAATGTGTAGTTCTTTCAAAACGTGACCTTTCTTCCCTTACACTTGTGTAGTTTTCTGCACCCCTGGGGTCTGTGTACCCAAATTTGTAGTAACACCATTCCTGAAAATTAACATTTAAAACAATGCTTTAAAATATTGAAAAAAAGAAAAACAAGAATGTAGTTAAGGGGTTTTTTTGGTGAATACAATAGCAAATAAAACATTTTCCGATCATGATTTGCTCTATGCTACCACGTAAGTTTGATACGTGATATGCTTAGCTGCCAATCTGTCTTGATCACCATATTTTTAATAGCTTGCCTTGAGTTCTCAAAAAGTTGTATGTCAATCCATTGTTTTAAAAATATAAGTAATAAAACTATGAACACTAGCAATCCTTGTAAGGACTGTAGGATTTCTGATTTTTATCTAACCTGAAAAACAAAAACTTGAGATCCCCAGCACCTCAGTCTAACAATAACCACTGTAAATTTTTAAAAGTTCAAGTTTTCTGATATGAATGAATACTATTTTGTCTTGATTTCTCCCATGTCAAGCAAGGATTTATTTTAAGTGTTCCTGATTATTCGACGCGTGTTGGCTTTCTGGCTCCTGTTTTGATGAGGAATAAGCTAACATATGCAGTTATTTTGCCTAGCATCCACTTACAAACACTGAACTATGTGGCTTACTCAGCAAATGAGGCAGTTGGCTGAGGTTGCAAGAAGTAATCAGAACACGTTGCTATTGACCAACGCTACCAAGTCACTTACACACTAGAAACCTCATTACTGATAGGTAATGAGTATTAGGAAGATCCATAGATGTACAGTTGGAGAAAGCTTAGGAATGAATAGTCCAGTGTTACTAACCACAGTTAAAGTCAAGTGAGTTGGTGTATATAGCAAGCTACTGAATGGGGCTAAAGGTAAGAGTAGGGATTTACATGTGCATTGTACACATGGAGGACTAATTCTTTGGACTCTCAGATTTCTATGACTCAAAAGGGCTGCACTGGTCTAAATGTTTTGTTATGTGATTTCTATTTTTGTTGAGCAGCTACTGTGTATTCAGCACTGTTTATCTCCACAGAGCTATGAATGTTAGCTTCCTTTTCCTTCAGATCTAGAAAGTGTAATCAGACGTGAAACAATAGTGGAGAACCCAGAAGTGTTCACAAGCAATGTTTTAATAAGTATGAGAATATGTTCAGGGATGTCATGAGATTTGGGTTAGGGCTTGAAGAAAGAGTAAGATTTGGGTAAGCAGAGTAGAGGGCAAGGTTCCCAAGTGGGAACAACATTCCAGGACAGATGGGGCTATGCCCACGAGCACATGGAATAAGACAGTTTTCCTGAAGACAGGGTGTGTATTAGGGAGCAATAGTAAAACAATCTGACCAACCTAACCTAAATTCACATAAGCCATCGATGTCTTCATCAGCAGAAAAATTCTATGAAACAGGCAACCAGAATAAATAACTTGAGGGTGCCATACTAGATAGTATCAATGACTTCACACTCTTCTACCATCAAAACAGAACTAGTTTTCTACTCTTGATTTATCAGCCACCTTAGAGAGCTAGTAGACAAGCTGTAAAGAAAACAGCAAAGGTTGTTTCTAATTTCAAGCCGGTGTGACCTGACATATTTGTATTTAACTCACAGAGACTTGCTTTGTAAGTATATGCACCTTACTTAGTTGTGAGATTCAAATGAGATAATGCAGGCATGTGTGCTTGGGACATAGTAGGCATTCAACAAATATTAATTCCTCTTTCCTTAAAGTATTTCTGATCCTGCTACATTGAAGGACAAGTGAAACAGTTGAATTTAGCCAGTAAGTTAGATGTTTTTCTTATGTATATTGCTGTGATCCCTCTATGCAGTGAAGTTTTCTGTCCAGTGGTGTCTGAGGGAACTCAAGTTCCAGCTCACACATGGCATAGTTCACTGTTCAGTTCAGTAGGAAAGCAGGATATAAAACTCTTATACTGCAAGGTAATGCTTTACCAAACAATGTCACTGAACTTTTAAGGTTGATGATTTCTTTGAAATTAAGTAAAACTAAAATGTGTTACACTTTTTCTTTCAGCATGCTACAAATGAATACTGATGAGAAACTGAATTTGTCTGATGGGAACACAGCAAGTTGCCCTTTGAGCCCCATTAAGATGTGCCTTAACCGTCCTATTGAATGGAATCTGAATTTAACAGCAGCATCTCTAGCAAGCTGTACAGTTCATAACCAAAATCTCAAAAGTGAAGACAAATAGATGGCAGTTCTTCTTGCACTATCTTTATTTTGTATGTCAATATTCTTTCTGCTTAACAATAAGCATTTTATCAATTGATCTTGAAATATTTCTAGTCCTTTGATTTATCTTTATATTAAATCATTAGCATTAATCATTTTGATTATATTCTTTGTATGTTTTTTACATGTTTTACACCAGACCATTGTGGAATTTTGTAGTACACACATTGATCTTTCTCTTTTTAATGGTATTTTGTGAATTTTTTATGCCCTAAGTTTAAAAACGTAATTGTCCCCAGTTTTATTTCTGTGCACAAAGTTTTAATATATAACACATTATGTAGTTTAGACAGCTAGAACTGTAAAGACTTGTGATGATGACATGACCCGTGAACAGTTGTGAACAGGTGGATACCAACTACCTCGAAGCAAACTGGTAAGAAAAAAGGGAAAGATTTGATTTGGAAGTATACGTCTTTCAGTTATACATGCACAGAAAAGATTGATCATAGTTTATCATCAAATAGCATGTTTCCATTCATAAAAGAATTTGAGTTCATCAGCTCTCTATTTTGAACCTGTAATCTATGGACTGTGAGAGCAATGGCACAGTTGCATGTTTACTCAACAAATCTGTGCCCCGTGGTAAACAAGAACACTGTTTTCTGTAAGTTATCAATTCTGAATGAAAAATGGCAAGTGAATTTACAGCTGTAGATTTTATTGTATTTCAGCAACTTAAATGTTTAAAGGAATATTATTTAGAAGCAGGATAATATTCCTTCTTCCAATAATGCAAAGCATATCTTCAGCAACAGCTACATTATTGGATCTAAAATCTGAACAGTAAGAACACTAAAGCTAAAGGTTTGGTGCTTAAAACTTATTATTCCCACAGCAGAGGAAAGCAAGCTTTGTATGGCATCTGTGTAAGAGCAAGGCTCCTTTCCCTTTGACAGCCTGGCCGTGTATAAATGGGATTTTAGTTTATTCCTGATGACTTTCCTTATAGCACATTTCATATACCAATTCACTAATTTCTTCCTGTAGCCCCAAAACTTATTTTTAAAATGACAGGGATTTAACAAAAAGATATAACTCATAATGAAGCACAGGAAAAGACATACAGCCAACATAATAAAGATCATCTGTTTTCCATTAATTCCCATCATTACCAGGTTTTAGTACGCATTTTTGCTGTGTAACTTTTATTCCTATTTTTGAGTTCCATAAAGCACATGTATGTATATAAAATAGAATTTAGTTCTGAAAACCAGCAATATTACTTTAACTCCATCTTAAAACATCACCTGAAATGAATGGCCTCTGGCAAATAAACCTACAGAAGCACAATTATTAAAACAGATCTATGTTAGGACCTCTCTAAAAAAAGGTCACTCACAGATGGGTAAGAAAAGATGTTTCACTGGGTGTTATAGCAAGAAACAGGACTGGTTTCATACAGTGCAAGTTTCAAAACATTTAAGTATCATATAGTGCCAATTTCAAAAGACAAATGAAACTGACAGCGAAGAAACAGTGCTCATAAGTATAAAAGGACTTCCTGTCATTTTTCCCAATAGTATTATTTATTATACACAGTAAATAAAATATTTTGTTACATCAAAAACTAAAAGCACCTTCATGATTAGTGTACCTGTTGACATCTCCCAAACCCAGGAACATTCACAAACAAGGGCTCCCATATAAATACTTTAGGAAGAGAGATTACCCATGCAAGTAATATTATCACATATATTTTTAATATAGGAATCACAAAAAGATTATCAAGTGTTTTTAAACTGGATGAGGATCACTTTGATTCATTATACTGGCCCTCACTGGGTAAGAAGCTCCTTTACAGCTGGTTGTGGTACTTCGTTTGCCCTTCAGATATCACTTGCTAAATATGTTGTAAGGTGTGTCATCTATTTTGAATCTGCTTCATCTAAGGTTTTCAAGTGTGAAAGCTACCAGCTAGTTATACTTAAGTTTACCATAATACTGTAATTTCAAAAGAATCACCTTGGGGAGCTTAATTAAAAGTAGATTTCTCAGCCCACCTCAGTTTCTGATGAAACAAATCTGTGTAGCTCATGCAGATTATCTTTGTATCACACCAACAAGATGCTTCCTGATGCTTTAAGACAGCCTGGAGGGCTGGAGGAGTGACTCAAGTGGTAGAGCTCCTGCCTACCAAAGCATGAAGACCTGAGTTCAAACCTAGTGCTACAAACCACACACAAAAAAAAGCAAAACTAACCCAGAGTCATGTGGTGTCACACAACAGAAAGACACCAGACTTTTTTTTTTCCTGATTTTAATACAAGGATAACTTTATTAAAGCAAAGAAATAAGCATACTTTTAAAGAACTTCACTTCCACCATCTCTCCTAATTTTTATCTTCATTGAGAAACTGTGCAAGGTTAAGTTTACTTTTTTCTAGTGCTGCTGTTTTGGCTCTTCTTGGTAATCTCATCTTCACTTTCAGTTCTGATTCTGGAACTTCATCATCACTAAACATGTTGAAAATACACCAATTTAGATACAAGCTTTAAGACCAGTTTATAAGTAAAAGTTTTTGTTTCTGACAGTCTATCACTAGGTAATTGGTAGCTTAATTATGTTAACTAAACTTAAAACTAAAATCTCAAACAATAACCAGAAAACACCAACTGGCTGTTCAGCAAAGTGAATCATGGGGAATCTAGCTAATTTTCATATACTGTTTGAAACCTGTTTTTATTATCTTCTTATATACAGGAAATGATACAAAGCACTGAACTTTTGTAATGAAGCCTATAATTACACAGTGACCACAACTATGAAAGAGGGTTTTTGTGCTTTAATTCAAAAAGTGAAAAATTGTTCTTAATGTAGTTAATAAATTTCTAAAACTATAAACAAGTTTTCCCCAAAAAAGGACTTAACCAAGACTTAATCTGAAGCTCTGTACTAAAAATATAGAGAACACTACTAAAGAATAGATGAATGCAACACAGCCACAAACTTTTCAGCTTAAACAGTGGCTTCACAGTCACCAAGAATAAACACTAAGTCACAAACCAGTAATACATTAAAATAAAAGGCAGTATTGTTCTAGCATTGTAAATGCAGAGAATCCAAATGTTATCTAAATCAAGAGTTTGCTAATTAAAAATCAAAAAGGAGCCATACAGTCAAAAGCATACATGGAAACAGCATATTAAAGACAACGACCTAATAAATGGCCATGCTAAAACAAAGGCAAAAGTACACAAGCCACAGAAATATAAAGGCTCTTGATGATGGCTTTCTAGACTGTTTATCAAAGTCATAACTATTTAGTTTTTACTATCTCATTATACACTGAGCTCTCACAGAAGACAGTTACAGTTTCTCTATTGCTAGACCAAGAAATAAAAGAAAAAAATGAAGAGATGTTCCATTATATATTCCAGACAAACACGGCATACCTTTGAGAGCCAGCCTCAGCAGTCTGACGTTTCCTGTTTGTCTTAGCAGAAGCTGTCACTTTTCTCCGTCCTTAAAGACAGCATAATTCTTTTCAAAATGTATTAATTGCTTAATGTTTCTAAATCTAGCTAACAGGCTATCTAAATGCTTTATTTTTAACACAACGACCTATTCAACACATCCTTCTTATTCCCAGCCATGTTGATGCCAATTATCAAAATACCAGAGAAAAAGAACCCAAGCAAGGTTAACATCTGCATTCACTTCTTTGTTCAGCTGATTAGGGAAAAGGGGAACTCGATCTACAAGCAAGTTACAAGAGGCAAGTTTTAGTTCAATGTGGGGACTGAAGTATATGAAAAACAAGCTTTAAAAAAAAACACCTCAGCTGGACACGGTGGTATACACCTGTAATACCAGCACACTCAAGAGGTCAAGGCAAGAGTATGAGTTCTAGGCCAGCCTGGGCTCCATAAAAAGTCTTGTATCAAAAGAAAACAACAAAACCTCACTTCTATTATGGCTGTAGCACAATGTATATGGAAACACATACACGTGTGTTTAGGTCCATGAGCAAAACTTTATTTACTTTTTTGAAACAAGGTCTTGCTATGTTGCCAGGGCTGCCCTAAGCTCCTGGGCTCAAGCAATTCTTCCACCTCAGCCTCTGAAGTAGCTGGGGTTACAGACTTTTATCACTATACCAACTTGAAATAGAACTTAATCAGCAAGATAATGGGGGCTTGTAAAATATTTAAACATATACATGGCCAATTCAAATATGTATTATTAGATATATTTCAATATAAAAACTAGAACCTTTATATACTAGGGGTTGTGAAAATTCTACTTGCTAGGTATTTACAAAGTTAACTGAGACAAAATTTGGTCTGTGATATTCCAAATTTATTAGAAAACCTAGCATTTGTACATGAAATTTGGACTTTTTAAAAAAGATGGTGTGCTCATAGTGACTAAAAGCAGTATGAGCAAAATCAATTATTCATTTGACAATTTGTTTCAAAAAACCGTATACCCTACTCTCTCATGTTAGACATCCCCCGCTACCTGACACACACCTTATTTATTTACTCTCACTATTGCGTTCAACCCCAAGAAGACATCCAACAATATGGAACTAATTTGGAACAATATCCAGTAATCGGTGTTTGAATAACTGGTTGAAACAATATTCTGGCCAGATTCCATTTTAGAAAAAAATTAAATCTGCTTAGAAGGGGGCCTTAACAAAATTTTTCAAAGATGAAAATCATGGTTGGCTCATGGGTGGGACTGTTAATGTTCTTTATAGTAGTTTGCTTGGATGTACTTTCTGAATCTTCTGTCATAAGCATGCATTGCTTTTGTAATAAGGAAGTAATAAAACAATAAAAAGATCTTGAATTTCAGATGTTTTTCCAAGTGACCCCCCTAGCAGTAAACATTTACTCCAACAAATTCTCTAGTGCTGGATTCCCCTTAGGGGCTATACTGAGAAAACAAAATGAGATGGGGAAAGGAAGAAAGCAGAGAAAGCCCAGAAAAATAATGGGAGGGGAAGCTTTGTCATATAAAGGATAAAACACAAGTAACTAATAATGTAAAACTATTATTTAACCTATTCCTAATTAAAACCAAATAGTCCTTTACAATATGGTCTTTTTATAATATTGAAGTCAGAAGCACTTAGAGCAACATTGATTTTATAATCTTTACACATGAAGCAAAATCATGTATTAGTTCAAAGAATTAAAAGTTAAGGATATATAAGACATTTAAAAATCTTTATCCAAAGGAAACAAACGTGAAAAGTATTTTCACTAAGGAAAACTGGAAATAGTTTTATTATAAGAACAAGTCAATCTATACACTACCTTTGTTAGTCTTCTCCTGAGTGAATTTTGATGCTTTTACATCCTTGAAAGGAGTCATATATACTTCTTTATTCTTTTCTATTAATGGAAACAATACAATAATGTAAACTAAAAATGGCTTTGTCAAATACTTTAAATGATCTTTTCATCTTTCATACAGAAATGGCAAACTGTTCTATTACCAGCTAGTGAAAGATTACAAATCACTATTCCAAATACTGTGAATACTATGAATCAAAATTCTTGACAAGGGGATTGCATTCATTTCTAAAATCTATCCAAACACATTAGAGGAAAAAAACTCAGTAAAGATGAAAAACAGAATCATGTAAATATTCAGGTCAGTATGTCCTCACCATCTTCATTTTCAAGAACAGCAGCAGTCATGTTGACATCCTGTATTTCCACAGACTGGTCATCAAATCTTTCATTTTTCTCTAACTGAATCTTGATCTTTTCCAAAGTTTTCAGGCACGTCCTATCTTTTACTTGCTATGAAAAACAAAACAAATTATGTACCAATATTGATCTAATATGATTCTAAAATCATATGAAGTCTATGAATATTTATTTAAAATGAACAAAGTCACAACACTATAAATTCCACTTTGATAAATTTTAACATAAGCTAGTTAAAAATAATTAGAAACTATTTTACCTCCAGAATCTCATTCAGTAGAACCAGAAGATCTTTTGCAAGATTGTTACTTAGTTCTAAAGAATTCAAAGCTTTTGTATAGACCCGAATTTCTGGTGAGCATGGACCTGTTAAGATCTCATTACAAATTTTTACAGCCAAATTGTCATGTACTGTGAAGGCCTAGAAAATTAAAAAAAAAAAATCTTTGAAAATAATACAATACAGTTTAGCATAATATAATACAGTCTAACATCTCCAACTAATCATAATAATCCCAAATATAAAATGTCTAAAACAGTATTAACATCTCTTCCTCCCCAAAAATAAGCTCCTTCCTTGATTTCTTTTTTTTTTTTTTTTTTTGCAGCGGGGGGAGGCAGTACTGGCATTGAACCCAGGGCTTCCACTTGAGGGCTACGCCCCACCCCCCCCAACCCTTTTGTTTTTACTTTATTTTGAGATAGGGTCTCACTAACTTTGCCCAGGCTGGCCTCAAACTTTCAATCCTTCAGCCTCTGGTTCTTTAGTAGCTGGCATTACAAGTGTACCCTACCATGCTTGGCTACCCCTTGATTTCTTATAGTGGATGTTGACTGATACAAGGTCTAGATCCACCTCTTAAGGCCTAAAGGATCTCCATATTGTTGTGAGTTTGGGAGGCTGAAAGTTCCAGCTGGCAGAACTGATCCAGGCTGATGACAGTGGGCCTTGCCCAAATTCACACCTCTTCCCCTAAGGGTCAGTCAACATCCAAGTGTCCAGCCTATTCACATGTATAATGGTGCAGCTTGTCTCAGTTCAGTACCACTAAAAGGATTCCAGTTTTGGAACTCCCTGTGGGATCAGGTGAGGCCTCTACTTGCATGGTGGTTCAGCTTGGCCTTGTGTCCCAGCCTATTTCCTATACTCCTTCAGGATATTGATCATGAGAGTATATCCCCAATCAAACTGTCAACACTTCGTATGAAGTTTTCTATTAGTCATACAAGGATTGGAAAGATTTTCTTGGATTCCTTAATCTCCCTTACCTCTCCTTTTCTCTCTTCTTTCCTCTTCCCAATTTACCTAATATAACCATCAGTGACCACTAAATCAATCTTTCTAATAAGTTGCTTCCACTCTATTAACCTTTTCCTCATAAGCCCTGCATACTCACTGCAAATAAAGCCAACTCCAACTTCCCTAACTTGATCTTTAAAATATGCTTTGCATAACCATCTACATGTATTACCTGCACGTGCATATTTTTCCTTTTGACTCAAACAATTCCTTAAATCCAAACCAGGCCAAAGTGAACTTTACTCAATGAGTTTTAAACTACCATCATGAGTCTTACCCTTCTGTAATGTCCTAAAGCACTTGAAAATTGTATCACTGCCCTTGCCATATTTTCATAATCTCCTTTGTAATCTTATCTTCCCAACAGCATATAATATTGTGAGTTGAGCAGACTCACTAACTACCAATTAGCATTTGTAATCATTAGCACATTAAATATCAAAAGTGGTAGTAAGTTTGACAAAATGTCATTAAAAGATTTTAAAACCCAACTTAAATTGAATTCATGGGTCAGTTTGCAGGTAATTTATCTTCTTCAAATTAGAAACCAAAATAAGCTTGAAGTGAGTTCTGTTCTTTGAACTGTCCTTCCCTATGCCAAGAGCATAAGAAGTGAACATTTGAAAACTCAATGAGTGCTAGATAACACAGGTCATTACTTCAGTGATTACAGCCAACAGGAGGTGGTAAGGAAGACAGGGAGGGTTAGTGTTTGGTAACTTCTTAGTAGCAAAATGTTAGCACTGACTACTTCTAGTTTCATAAAATTTCTCCATATTTCCCAAAAGATCTTCCTTTTTTTGTACTTTATGTTATGCATCACTATACAGATAAAATCTAAAGCTAAAAATGTAGCTCCTCACTATTCCCAAGAATCTATGAGGAGATTGTTTTACAAAGACAGCAGTGATCTAAAGCAGTTACCATCTTTACCACCCAAGGCCAACACACTCATTCACCTGATAATCTTGGGAATTCTTGGCTTGAGGATTTAATCCACTTGGTCTTGTCAGATCTACAAGCAACTCAGCAACATTCATGATATCTACTTCAGCTAAAGGAGATGATGCAGGGGCGTTGGCCAGTGTTTGCAGAGTTGGAAGAAAGGCTTCTTCAAAGCATTCCTGATTAGTCCTATCGAAAAACAGTTTGAAAGTATGTTGGCAGACATTATTTGAAGAAAAAAAAAGCATGATTCTAAAACACAGAATTCACCTCATCAAGATAAAGTACATTTGCACCCAAGAAAGAGCCAAATTCAGGCAGGTAAAATCTACATAAATTCTTCTCATTTGATCATTCACCACTGAAACAAGAGTACTGACAACAGTATTAAATAGATGGATATAACTCAGAGAGGGCCTGAATTTGACTTCAAGTGAGATTTTGATTTTTTGATAAGACTCAATACCTGCTTGCATAAGCAAATATGGGGAAAAACACGCCTAGGCAATGTCGAAGTCGAACATCTTCTTCAGTCACAGGGTTGTACCACAACAAGATAAGACGAGAAAGAATCTTGCTGCTGACCAAAAGCCCAGAGAACATCAGCTTGGCTAGTCCTTCTGCAGCTCCTGTTCTGAGTTCAGATACCTAATAAAAATAACATTTACCAGAAGAAATTTTTTTTATCTGTATTTTCCTTTTAAGACTTACAATGTACCCTGTCTATGACATTTTTAGATGAACTATTCAAAAATCATCCATGCTATTATAAATTTGCAAAAGGCACATAAAATGATTTTGTTTCTTCAAAGAGGTAATGTCTAACAATTTTAGGCAAATATAAATGATTTTGAATCTAGCTGTGAAACATCAGAACCAAAAAGCCTTTTACAAAAGTTGGGAAAACAAAAACCAAAATGATACATTTTTAAATGCATTTCTAAGACAAACACTCAGCAAAAGTTCCTGCTTTCAAAGGAAGGTAACTACAAAGAACAACTCCAGAAGTGGGAGTGGCAGTGTATCTGAATACTGGGCAGAATGTGAACAAAAGGTGTACAAATGAAAACAGGCCACCCAGAAAGAGTGGTGATTAAGAATATTGGCATGTGATACTTCTCCGTGTCTCACTTTTTTCATAAACAAAAAGGGGTAATGAAAGGACTTATCGTATATGATAAGACAGTTACAAAGATGAAGAGATGACACAGGTAAAACTCTCAGAAGTGCCAGCTACACACTAAAGCTATGACACATTTATTATTGATGGAAAGTAAGTTTGCCTGACAGTAGATTATGGACCTGAAAATAAGGTAAAGAAATTCACACTTATTTAAGAACTTAGATGGAACTGCTGAAGGTTTTTAAAAAGGTGGAGACAACATTTGAGATTTCAGGAAAATTATCTAGACAGGCTGTAACAGGGATGACCTAAATCAGAGAGAAAGAAGTGAATGAAAAGCAGAAGAGCTAGTTCAAGAACTTTTTTTCCAAACTCAAAAAGATAAAAGTTATAGAGGCTGGTAACAGTAAGTGCTGAGGTGCAGGGTCAGAACAACCTTAGGGGCAGACACCTTGCTTCACTTAGCACTGTACTCTTGGGAATATATAGCAACCAGCACCTAATTGGCCCTTACACATTTCTTGATGGAATTAAAGAAGCAGCCTGTTTTAGGTGAGAGAACAGTCCAGAGGCAGAAAATACTTTATTGAAGATTCACACTGATACAACCCGAACACTAGTACGTATGTATAAATTTTTAATATGACAAACTTCCCTTATAGCAACAGCAATCCATTTGAAGTTGAATGGCAAGAATTTGAATTGACACAGAACTGTAAGTGCTGAAAGCATGATAAAGATTGTTACTTATGGAACAGAAGAAAGTCAAAAATTCTGGATTTTTAAATAGTGATTAAAAAAAAAAAGAACCAAAGCCAGAAAATCTAGTTTAGCCAGAAAGAGATTTAATGTACCAGTACTACAAAATGAAGATCACTCACTCACTGCCAAGTAATTTTAATGTTCAATGACTGTCCTACCTTCACATGATGGGTAAGGGCATGAACCAGACAATTCCCAACAGAAAGTTAGCATACAACTCGAATAATGACTCAAAAGTTTAAAGTTTTACCTAACATTAGGATAATCACCCAACTCTATTTGGTTACTAGTTGCCTACATCTTTTTTCATCCTTTTGCTTCAATCCATGTGTGCCTTGGATCTCAAGTGAGTCTCCTGTAGACACAATACTGTTTGGATCTTGTTCTTTTCTTTACCTCTACCTTTTAGTTAGAGAATTTAATCCATTTACATCTAACAAAATTATTGATAAGGAAAAACTTCTGGCATTTTTGCAGTCAAAAATGTCATAAGCCAAAAAGTGTTGCAAGACAAAAAAGGGCATCCAGTATTATATAAACACACATATACCAAACAATAGTGCCCCACAGTATATGAACAAACAGAGAGCTCTATAATAACAGGTGGAAGACTTCAATGCCTCACTTTCAGTAATGAATAGAGCTAGTTCAACAAGGAAACAGAACTTGACACTATGAAATCAATGAGACCTATCAAACACATGTACAACACTCAATCCACAACAGCAGAATACATTCTTCTCAAATACACATGGAACATTCTGAAGGATTACATTAAGAGTAAAACATATTTCAACAGATTTAAACATACTATGTCTTTTCCAACTACAATGGAATGAACCTGGAAATCAATAACAGACAAAAGCTACAAAATCCACAAGTGTGTGAAAATGCTCTTACACCTCAGTGAGTTAAAAAAGAAATCACATCAAAAATCAGACAGTACCTAGAGACAAATGAAAATGGAAAAATAACAAACATAAACTTACGAAATTCAATGAAGAGTGCTCAGGGGATATTTGTTAACAGTACATATCTTCATTTTAAAAACTCTCAATAACCTAAATTTATACCTTATAGAACAAGAAAAAGAAGAAAAAGTGGAAATGTAGGAGGAAATACTAAAGATTAGACCTGAGGTAAACAAAATTGAAATAGAAAACAGTATAGAAAAATGGACAAAATTAAGTTTCTTAAAAATATCAACAACCTATAATCCCAGCACTCAGAGGCTAAGGTCAGAGAGAGTGAGTTGAAGCCAGTGTGGGCTATATTTTGAGACCCTGTCCCAAAAAAAAAAAAAAAAAAACACCAAAAATCAAAAAATTTTACAAACCTTCAGTAAAGACTGACAAAGAAGGTCAAGTGCAATGGCTGACACCTGTAATCCAGCTAATTGGGAGGCAAAGGCAGGAGGATCATGATATGAGGCTAGACCAGGCAAAAATTTAGCTAAACCCTACCTCAAAGTACAAGCTGGGTGTGGTAGTACATGCCTGTCCCCAGCTATGTGGGAGGCAAAGGTAGGAGGATTGTAGTCTGAGGCTATCCCCAAGCAAAAATACAAGACCTTATCTGAAAAATAACTAAAACAGAAAGGGCTGGGGCATGACTCAAGTAGTAGAGCACCTGCCTAGCAAGTGGGAGGCACTGAGTTCAAATCCAAGAACAACAAAGAAAAAGAAGACACAAAATAACCAAAATCAAAAGTGAAAATGAGGACATTACTACTGACCTTACAAAAATAGGTCTATAAGAGAATACTGCAAATAACTGAATGCCAACAAATTAAATAACCTAGATGAAATGGTAAATTTCCCAGAAACACACAAATTTGCAAGTGAATCAAGAGGAAATAGAATATCTGAACAGATCTATTACAAATCGAATAAACAGACTGGGTAAGTAATCAAAAATCTCCCAAAAGAACAGTCCAGGACCAGATGTCTTCATTAGTAAATTCTATGAAACATTTAAAGAATTAACAACAATCCTTCTTAAAGCCTTCCAATAAATAAAAGAGGAAGGAACAATTCCTAACTCAGCTTATGAGGTCAATAGTACTCTGATATCAAAGTCAGACACAGATCCCATAAGAAAACTATAAGCAGATATCCCTTATGAAAAGTAGATGATTTTCAAACAAAACACTACCAAAAAATCCAACAGCATAATGAAAGTATTACACATCATGAACAAGCCGAACTTATCCCAGGAATGCAAGGGTGGTTCAACCTAAGAAAATCAAGTCATGTAAAGCACCACAGCAATATAATAAAGGGAAAATGCTGATGATCACCTCAATTGATGCAGGAAAAAAAAAATGTATCAAAATCCAACACCTTTTTATTTAAAAACAGGCACACAAAAAAGTCAGAGAGATAAGAAGGGAATTTCCTTAAAATGATAAAGTGCACTAATGAAAAACCTACAACTAATATCCCATTCAATGGTAAAAGACTGAAAGCTTTTCCCCAAAAATTAGAATTATGAAAAAGATATCTAATTTAACTACTTAATAACTGCTATTTAATGCTGTACCAGAAGTTCTAACCAGGGCAATTAGACTAGAAGAAATAAATGCCATCAAAATTGGAATTATGTAATTCAGAAATTACATGATCCTACATAGACAAAATTCCAAAGAATATCCCCCCTAAAAAACCCTTACTATAGTTAATAAGTGAATTCAGTACAGTTGTAGGGTAAAAAGCAGCACAAACTAAAATCCTACTTGAGTTTCTGTATATGAACAGGGTACAATCAAAAAGGAAAATTAAGGAAAAAATTCCATTTTCAATAAGCATCCAAAGAATAAAATACTTAGAGATAAATTTAACCAAGGAAGTAAAAGAGTTGTTATACTGAAAACTACAAACTACATTGTCAAAAGAAATTAAAACACATTCTAAATAAAAAGAAAAGGCATTCTGTACTCATGCCTGAGACAACATTCAGAAGAACTTAATGTGCAGAAAGCTATATTAATTAATGCAACCTACATATTCAATGCAATCCCTATATAAATTCCAGTAGTATTTTTTTGCAAAAATTAAAAAGTCATCCTCAAATTTGATAGAACTAATAAGGGATCCTGAATAAGCAAAACAATACTGAAAATGAAAAACAAAGTTAGAAAACTTACACTTCCTGATTTCATAACTTTAAAGAAGTCCCACCAACCAAAACAGTGTAGAACTGGCATCAGAAAAGATGGACAGACCAATGGAATGTAATTGAAAAGTCATCTACACCCAAATGCTTTTCAACAAAGGTGCCAAAACAGCCTCTTCAGCTGTGATGATACTCACACAGACAAAACAATGAGACTGGACCCCTATCTCACACTATATACAAATAGTATATGAAAATTATTATTCAATTGTCAATTAACAGTGACAAATATAAAAAAAATATAATGTACATTTAAAATATAAGTTTATATATATAATGTACATATAAAATACAAGTTTATATATATAACTACATATGAATAAATATACATTATTTAAAAGCTAAAGCCATGAACTCTTACAAAAAAAACAAAGGAATAAATCTTCATGACTTGGATTTGGCAAGGCATTCTTAGATAAAATGAAAATAATAAAATTGGTTTCCACCACAATTTCAAAATTTTTTACACATCTACAGAAAGTGAAAGGACAACCTATAAAACAGAAGAAAATATTTGCAAATTATTTATCTGATAAAGATATACTTAACCAGACTACATAAAGAACTTCATAAGACAACTACCCTAACTTAAAAATGGACAGCAGACATTTCTCAAAAAACACATACAAATGACCAAACAATGAAGATTTTGAACATTATTAGTTGCTAGGGAAATACAAATCAATATCACAATGCAGTACCATTTCACATATAGTAAAAAAGTTAAAATTTTTTAAAGATGGAAAAGTAAGTGTTGATAAGGATGTAGAGAAACTAGAAACTTTGTACATTGAAGGTAGAATGTAAAATAGCTCACACAATGTGTGAGTTTGGCAAGTTCTCAAAAAGTTAAACCAAAGCCAGGTGAATCCCAGCTACTCAGAAAGCAGAGGCAGGAAGATCTTGAGTTGAAGGTCAGCTAGGCAAAAGCAACTGTGAGACTGTCTTAAAACTAAATCAGCTGGGCATGGTGGCTCATGCCTATAATCCCAGTTACTTGGGAAGCAGAGCTCAGGAGGGCTGAGGTTCAAGGCCAGCCTGGGCAAAAAGTTAGTGAGATTCCCTCTCAATCCATGAGCCAGGTACAGTAGTGTACAGGTACACGTACACAGGAGGCCATGGGTAGGAGGACTGCCATTTGAGACTGGCCTGGGCAAAAATATAAGACCCTATCTGAAAAATAACTAAAGCAAAAAAGTGCTGGGGATGGGGGGGCATGGCTCAAGTGGTAAGGCACCTGCCTGTAAGCATGAGGACCCAAGTTTAAACTCCAGTATTGCCAAAATACATTTAAAGAAAAATAAAAACAAAAAGGCTGGGAACATATCTCAAGTGGTACAGTACTTGCCTAGCATGCACAAGGGCTTGGGTTCATTCCCCGGTACCACAAAAAAAAAAAAGTCATGCCCAGCAATTCAATGCCCAGGTACATACTCAAAAAAAATTAAAAACAAGTACCCAAAAAAAATATATGCACATGCATGTTGTTCACAGCAGCACAGCAGACTATTCACAGTAGCCAAAGTGTAGAAGTAGCTGAATGATGCCCTTCCATGAATCAATGGATAAACTGTGGTAAATGCATACAAGGGAATGCCATTCAGCTACAATACAGATGGTCCAGAACACTCTATGCTAAATGCAGTCAGTCAAGACAAAAATGGTCACATACCATATGATTCTATTTATGTGAAATATTCACAATAGTAAAACTCACAGAATGTAGAGCGGTTGTTGTCAGAGCTGTGAGAGGGGGAATAAAGGGTAAATGCCTGCTGGGTGGTCTCCTTTTGGAATGACAGAAATGTTTTGCAAATTAGGCAAAGCGGTAGTTTCACTGCACTATGAATGATGACAATGAATTGTTCACTTATAAAAAAATGCAACCACTAATTTCTTAATGAGTTAAAAGTCTATATATATGCTACAAAAAATGCAGTTCAAGAGTACCGTAAGAAAAAAGATCTAATCCACCTATGTTATTCCTTCTATCCACACAATATAAAATTATTCTTAACTATTCTCAAAATTCTTGAGGAAAAAACTTAAAACCTCTAAATCACAAATCATTAGGTTAAATGGATTTATTCATCTTTTAATAACAGCTCCTTTCACTAGTCATTTAATTTCTGTTCACACTTTAATTCTTTGCATACCCAATTTAATAATGAGAAATTAGGTGGGATAGCAGTGAAAGGTGAAATTTCATTAAGATACTAAAAAATTTGCCCAAATTTAAATTTCAGAACAAAAAACCAAATATAAACATAGAGCATAAGCCCATACCTGTTGCAAATAACATTTCATAATCATGGGGAAGGGTTATTTCTCACCTCACTGTCTAAAAAATCAGAAAGGAGTTTTAGAACATTCTTGGCTGTAGCTGTCTCTTCAACTTCTGCTTCTGGCTCATTGTCACCATTGATTTCTGCACCGTCACACTGAAGAGACTTGACTTTTTTAGTTTTAAATGGTTCAGTCCCAAACACCATCAGTTGGTCAAAGATTGCCTTTAAAGCACTTATTTTTATTGTGACATCATCAATTTGCAAAACCTAAATTGAGACATCCCCCACCAAAAAAGTTCAAATAAAATAATCAAATATTAATGACAGTGTCAAGGATACAGAAAAAATACTTTACAGAAGTATGATTAAAATTTTAATTAAAAAAGAAATATATGTATCTATGAGCAATATTTCTTAATTTAATCTTTGTAGTAAAATCCTGGACTAAGTCTAGTTGAATTGTGTTATTTGTTCCTTACACTAAAATAATATTTTCACCTATGGTTTTATCACTTTTTGTAAGACCCAGAAAAACTATTCAGTTATATTAAAATTGTTTTGGCCCATCTATCAAGAGAAAAACACTACATTATAACCAAGGAAAAGCATTTGTTAAAACATCAATACTCTTCTAGGTTACCTAAGTTGAACTAAATACAATTTTTTCTCTTACTAGTTCAACAAATTCTATAAAAACGAATGAATCATAAAACCCACCAGTTTAAGCATATCTTGAGTTTAAAAACACACACCAAATTTCAAAGCCATTAAAAAAAAAATTCAATATTTCCATGATGAAAGATTACCTACATTCTTTAAGTTTCATTTTAAAATGAATACCAATCATCTATAAATTGGTCAAATTTTTGAAATGAGATGAGTCAAATTTTCAAAATTTTGAAGGAAATTTCAAGAACACATCTATACATATTTTCTGAAGGAGACCTGTAACTATGCCAAAACCAATTGCTTATAATAATATATTGCCTTGAGTGCTGTGTGCAGATTGCAAACATGCTAATACCTCACCAGCAACTTGGTTTTCCTTATTCTATGTCCCCTACTCAGCAATAGCATGTTATTTTCACAATGGACACACAATGCTCTCTTTTGCCACCTAAATTTCCAGGAAAATTCCTTGCAGCTTTTTCATTCCATTATATTTGGCAACACCAGAGGCTAGACACTAGAGATTAAAGGTGTGTAATTTTTCAATTTAAGATAGATTCAGATATTTTTAAAAACAGATATCCAGAAGTCAAGGAGTTTGAAAGTCAAATGCCTTCCATTGGTGCTCTGACTCAATCCCCTCTTGCCTTCTAAAGAATACTATTCCAGCACTACTCTCAACTTTATATTACCAATTTTTTCCTTTCAGTGACTCATTCTCATGTATACAAACATGCCTTTAGCTTCAGATCGAACTTTGACTGAGCCACACTACCAGCACCTCAGGGTCACTAGCTTGCAGACAGCCTATCTTGGGACTTTGCAGCCTCCTTTATCATGAGAGCCAATTCCCCTAATCAATTCCCTCTTGTCTGCCTATCTGTCTATCTATCCATCCATCCATCCATCCATCCGTCCATCCTATTGGTTCTGTCTCTCTAGAGAAGCTTAATATTCTATCCTTGTCACAATTCCAATAACCACAACCCAGTCCAAGCCATCACCCTTTTTTCCCTGATTTCCTCATTGAATAACCTCCTTACTAGCATGCCTACTTCCATACTTATACCTCTACAGTTAATACTAAGGATCTGCAAACTATGGCCCACAGGCCAAATCCAGTCTACCACTTATCTTTTGTATGGCATCAAATTAGAAATAGTTTCTTTTTATATTTGCAAATGGTTTAAAAAATATTTCACTATATGTAAAAATTATACAAAATTCAAATCCACTTATGTACTATGGCTGTTTTCACACTATTATAGTCTTTGGTATCTACAGGTACCTGGTTCCAAGGAGATATACACTGAAGAAAAACTTTAAATGCTCAGGAAGCATGGAGTTTAGTACTCTAAAATTATTCAAATTTACCTATACGTACGTGCAGTGGATCTAAGCATACATAACTTAAAACCACATGGAGTAGGCTACATTACTGTAGAAAAATTAATACTGCTTACCAAAAACTAGATCTTATTCCATGCTGTTTATCTTGAATACTGTGGATACTTGATTTGTTTTTCCAAAAATGCTACCCAACTTCTTCTAAATACATGCTACCTTTTAACAAATCTAACATTTTCACGTTATCACTTAAATTAAATCTATTAACGCTTACCTTGTTTTTTGGGAAGATTTTCACAAAATTAAGGGCAGGGAAACATGCAGCAAATCACAAAATGATTTAAACACAACTGACTATAATGCAGGACTGACTGAGAGCTTTTCCTCATCAACTGAGATGCATAATGCACACACAGAAATTCAAAATTTTTGTTTTTGAAATTTCTTTTCATTTTTTTCCTTTTTTTTGGACTATGCTGAGTTAAAACCACATGAAATAAACTCCAGAATAAGACAGGTATACTGTAGAACAGAAGAGCTCAGTGGTTGAAATGGGCCATATAGTCCATAAAGTCAAAATATTAACTCTGGTCCTTCACAGAAGTAGTTTACAAACCCTGCCTAGTCTATCTACAACAGCACTGTACCCAGTCAGATCATTACAATCCTCTACGCAAAACCTTCCAAATTCTTCCTGCCTCATTCACAGTGGAGACTAACATCTTGACAGTCTGCTCTTAGAAGACACAGATACCCTCAAACTCTTCCCAATTATCCTCCACGTCACTTAATCTATCCTAACCATGTCCTCCTGCTCCTCAAACACACACAGCAAAGTTCTACCCATTGGTCCCTTTCCTATCCTTGCAAACCCAGATATCCCAGGGGTTGCTCTTTCTACTTCCCTCTTTTATGAGCCCAAATGTGGATGGATTACTGAGTCCTTCCTTAGCTAAATCATCCCTCCTACTTTTCTCCCTCCTATTCCTGCTTCTCTGCTTTATTTTTGTATCTGACATTTATATACTTATTTAATTTTCATCATGTTTTCCCTACTAGAAAGTAAGCTCAACTAGCATAGCAACTTCCACCTTGTTTTTTTTTACCACCCACCCACCATATTTTTCAAAGCCTAAATCAGTGCTAGCACATAATATGCACTCAATAAATATTAGCTATATGATTCACATTAATAAACAAGCCTAAATTGACATTTCATCTTTTTTCTACATTTTAATAATTGGGTGCCTGTCCACAATCATCAATAAGCATTGGAAAAAATTCAGAATATTAGCATTATGACCAGAGATAAAGGGAATTTCAGGAAATAAATTAGAGATTTTTGTCACAAAATAAATCCTACCTGTAATAGTAACACAAAGTGTTTACTTGCAAAATCCTGATTCTGAAGTCCACAGCATCCTAAGCATAAAATAGCCAAATTTCTTATGATAGGATGAACACTTATTATTCCAGGAAGAATCTAAATGAAGGAGAAATTAAAACAATTTTGACCAAAGCAGGAAATTTATAATAGTGCATTAAAATCAAGGTCAAAATGATGATGTCCACATGGTTTTACAGCTCTACTTCATCTCCGCAGACCAGTAGGTCAAAGAAGTAATTTTGCAGTTAAAAAAAAAAAAAAAAAGGGGAAATGCTAAATTGCTAAAACTGATTCCATGGATTTTCAATGTCCATAGAACAAGAAATCCCTTAATGTGATATATTTTACCCCTGATAGTCTATCCCCATCTCATCTTTTTTTTTGTGTGCGTCAATACTGGGGTTTGAACTCAGTACCTTGCGTTTGCTAGACAGGCACTCTATCACTTGAACCCCAATACAACCCCTTTTTCCTTTAGTTATATTTGGGATAAGGTTTCACGTTTATGCATGAATTATCTTGGACCATGATCCTATTTACATTTCTCCCATAAATGGGATGACAGGCATGTCACCACACCCAGCTTTTATTGCTTGACATGGGGGTCTCACAACCTTTGACTTTTGAGGCTGGCCTCAAAATTGCAATCATCCCAATTTCTGCTTCCCAAGTAGCTAGGATTGCAGGTGTGAGCCACCATATCAGCTTTCATTTTTTAAACCAATTTATTGTTGTGGTGCTAGGGTGCTAAGGATCAAACCCAGGGCCTCCCACATGCTAGGCAAGTGCTATTCCACTGAGTCATTTCCCCAGTTCCTCTTTCAATCTTTAGTCATAGATTTTTATCATTTAAAATCATTATGAGGCTGGGGATATAGCTCAGTGGTTTAGTGTTTGCCTCGCATTCATGAGGCCCTAAGTTCAATCTCCAGTACCACACATACATGATTTGCTATTCTTTGATTATAGGACAAGACATAAAATACAAGTAGAAAGTAAAAAACATTACTTTTTACTAAATATATCTGCTTCTCTAAAAATAAAACTAAATTCTAATGATTGAATAGAATCTAGTTTGTAATCAAATACTGTAGAAAGTTATAAAGTAGTTTTCTCTACTATGTTTAGAAATTAACAACAATCCAAGAAATCAGATTTTACATCACATTAACTAGCTATTTCTCAATTTTCCCAAATGTAAACAAGTTGGGGAGAATCCTCTAAGAGCTTAGATATAGTCAGAATTAGCTTTGAATGAGTAACACCATCAAAAATAAGAAAGAGAGAGAAAGAAAGTCCCAGGGAAGGGCTGGGGACTTGGCTCAAGTGGTAGAGCACTTGGCTGGCAAGCACAAGGCCCTGAGTTCAAACTCTACTACCACCAAAAAAAAAAGAAAGAGCAAAAACTTCCAGCTACTTGGAGGCTAAGGTGGGAGTACTGCTTGATCCCAAGAGTTTGAGGCCAGACCTGTAAATAAATAGGCAAGACTCCATCTCAAAAACATGGAAATAAAACCGACAAAACCAAACCTCTCACCATTACTAACTGTTGCCTCTAGCCACATATGGCTAGTTAGCACTTGAAATATAACTAGCCCAGAGTACAATGTGCTATAAAACTTAGTATAAAAAAATGTAAAATATCTTAACAGTTTCCATACTGAATAAATGATAAAATAATACTTAGATATATTCAAATAAAAGCGTGTTTGGTTATATTAAATATATGCTAATATATTAAAATTAATTTTACCTTTTTAAAATACTGCTATAGAGAATTTGTAGTGACATATGGTTTGGTTTGCATTGCATCCTATCAGAAAGTGCTATTCTAGAGTTTTGCAGTACATATATTCCAATGTCAGTATAAAAGGAATTCTCTATAAAGGTCAGGGACGGTGACACACGCCTAATGTCCTAGCTACTTAGGAGATGGAGGTAAGAAGGATTGTGATTCCAGACCAGCCTAGGCAAAAAGTTAGTGAGACCCTATTTGAAAACAAACTAAACAAGGGGGGGGGATGTGCATATTTGTGCATACACACATGGGTACATACACACACACATGATAAGAACTGTGGCACAAGACACTAAGGCAGGAGGACTACTTGAGCACAGGAGTTCAAGGCCAGCCTGGGCAATGTAGTGACAAGACCCAGTGTCAAAAAAATAAATAAATAAAATATTCTTTATATGTTTCAGTATCTCCTCTTATTATTCAAAAAGTGAAATATTTTGCACTTCTTTCCAATATAAAATAATTTTCTCAAACGTTTTAAAAGAATAATTATAACTTACATAGTAGGTCCTTTATATATACTATTTAATCTTCGCAATAGGAAATAGCCCCATCTATCTATCTTTTACCATCTGTACTTATTAGATGTTTAGAATAATATTTGCATTATTTTGAACCCTAATGGACACATTTTAAAATGATGGGACTAAAATAAAATCTCAACATACCAAAGATTCAATGATCCCATTCATGGTTGCACTTATACCAGTTGAGATAGACATCTGCTTCAACAGTTCATAGGACAAAATAAGACACTTCTGAAGTGTTTCCACATCATTCTAAAATAAAAGACAAAACATTCAGCATTAGTAAGAATGGCTTCTGCCCATCTCTTAAATATCTGTTTTCTAGGGCTTGCAGACATTTAAGACATCAGGGCTTAAATGAGATCTAGGTATCTGTGAGCTAGACTTAAATCTCAGATTCGTATATGTATTTACTGGAATATGTTACTCTTAGATGCTCCTCAGGCTCCTCAAACTCAAAATGTCAGAAACAGAACTCTATATTAGGTAAATCTGTCTTTCTCTAGTACTCTTTATATTCATGTCACCACTACCTATCCAGCTGCCCAAAGCAAAAGACCTAGGCTATACTCCTGTTCTCCATTACTAATCCCTAAATGCCTCTCAAACATGGCACTTCCTTCTATATCCACGGTCATCTTGTTCGCACTACAGTCATTCTAAGCCTACATTACTATAATAGTTTCCCAACTGTTATGCCTATCTAGGCTTTTATCACTCTCCAATCCATTTCCTTAACAGTAGTGATCTTTCTAAGACAGTATACTCATCCTGCCATTTAAAATACTAGTAGTTCACCATGATCTTTGAGTAAGACACAAATCTTTAATACTGTCAATGCAAGGCCTTACATGATCTGGCCCTTAATTTTTCTTACAATTTCTCTCTTACCTCTCCCCTTTAGTTCTTCTTTAATCATATGAATCTGAAGTTTTAAATCACAACAGGTATTCTTTAACCTCTGGACCATCACACATGTTATTCCATTTGTCTACATTCCCTTAAAAATTCATCAAGGAGATACTGCACAGGGTACATTAAAAGTACAACTCTATAGCCAGTGTACAGGTTTGACTCCTTTGTCATTTACCACATCAGTCAGATTTTGGACAAGTAACTAACTTACCCTTGTAAAATGAAGATAATAACAGTACCCATCTCATGGGGTTATAGTTAGAATTACATGAACTCATATTTGTAACATGCTTGAAAGAGAGACTACCATGTGGGTAGGGGATGAGAGGGTATTCCTTAACTGTTAGCTCATATTATTCATGATGGTTCATCTTCACTGTCAACTTGACTGGACAGAGTAGTGTAGGGCATTAGTAAAGCACACCTCTGGTCGTGTCTGTGAGGGTGTTTTATTAACTCATGCGATGTTATGATCCTAAAGGCTGGAGACAGATAAGGGGGGATAGGAGAAAGCCAACCAGAAGCTAATCATGATATAAACTGCTCTGCTTTGCCATGCCCTCCCCACCACGATGGGCTGAAACCTCTCAAACCATGAGCCAGAATAAATCCTTCTTTAAGTTGTTCTCTCAGCTATTTTGTCACGACAATGACAGTATAACACACTATTTTTATTCAAATCTCAGATTAAAACATTTCCTCTTCTAATGAAACCAATGATACTATCTGGATTAGATACCTCTCCACAAAACTTCTATAGTTCCCTGACCACATCTACTATACTGTGCTCTAATTGTAATACAATAGATTTATAGCACTCAAATAGTACAAAAAGACACAAAATGCTCAAAGCAAGTCAATTAAAGATAGACAACATTTATGTAAAAAAAAAAAAATTAGGGGGAGGGGCACAGATAGGAGTAGTGCCAGGCAAGCACTATACCATTGAGCTACATCTCCAGCCCTTGTTTTTTTTAAGGCAAGATTTCACTTTGTGACTTAGGCTGGACTTAAACCACAATTTTTCTGCCTCCTAAATGGCTATAGGCATGAGCTATCACACCTGTCTCAATATTTTCTTAAATCAAAATTTTCAGATTATATTTTTAGTTTCCACTTTAAATTTGCTTTCCAAATATCAAAGCCCATAAAGAATCATAGACTTTGCAAATAAGCTACTAGCTATGAAAATAAATTCAGTCATTCTCACTGGGAAAGTGAGGTGCTAACACTAAAGATTTCAGTGGCTTGAGAGGTTGAGAATACAACATAACATATGAAACCCTCTAACATAGCAAATGCTCTACTTGGCATTCTCTTTAGGAGAATACTCTAATCAGCACTCCCAAAATCAAAAGTACAAAGGCAAAAGTCTAAAAAAAAATTTGAATTAAAAGTTAATATCAAATATATTGAGACTGGGCATTGTGTAATCTTAGCTACTTAAGAGGCAGAAATTGGGAGGATTGCTGCTTGAGGCCAGCCCAGGAAAAAATTTATAGAGATTCCATCTCAAACAACAAGCTGGATATGGTGTTTGTAACCATATCCCAGTTACAAGAGAGGCAGAAGTAGGATTGAAGTCCAAGGTCAACCCTAGGCAAAAACACAAGCCCCCATCTAAAAAATAGCTAAATCAAAAGAGGGCTGGGGGAGTAGCTCATATGGTAGGGTGTATGCCTAGCAAGCATGAGGTCCTGCATTCAAACACAATATCAACCCCCTCCCCCCAAAAAAGTGTGTGTATGTATGCATGTAAATTGGTACCATTCTATCTTATATTAAAAGAAGTTTGTAGAGAATGAAATATTCTATTTAAGATACTAATTTATCAAACAAGTAGGTTAATAGACTACTAAAAAGCTTTAAATGATACTAGGTATCAAGACTTACTAGTTCATTGAAAATAACAAAGCTGCCTAGCTTTTTCTAAAAAACATTAAGAGTAAGCTTTAAAAGCATGCATATGACACCATTATCATAGAAACTTGTTTCCTAGCAGCAGAAAGGTCATGTATTGGTCTTCCACAAGAGAGAGAATGGTAGAGGCTTTCTTAAACCATTTTAGACAAATAAATAAAACTCAGAAGTGAACCACTAGTTTCCCTCACAAGGAAAGAAAACTTCAAGATTCCAGGGATTTGCATGATAAGGGAGCAAATATAGTGCTACAATAATTAATGTTAATTAAGACCTCTTTCAAAGTTCAAAAATAGAATGGAACAGGAAATTTAAAGAGAAAAAAGGAAGCTGTTTTCATTTTAATTCATGTTGCTCTTACAAATCCTTCCAAAGTGAATAGATTCTCAGTTTTATGAGTTAAAGAAAATATTTAGTTTACTTGAGACAGTAACAGCTAAGATTTATATGAAAAATTACCCATACCTTCTCTGTGTGGACATCTTTAATTTCAAGTTGCTCTGTCTCTTTTGACAGCTTTATTTTGGCATCTTCCAATGCTTTTATTTCTTCTTTTAATTTTGATGCCTGATTAAAATCTTGTATGGTAATGCAATTTTCCAAAGCTTCTTTTGCTTCAATAAGTTTAACTTTTATTTCAGCCATCTAAAGAAAGATAAAAATTGGTCATTCCAACACTAGAAAAAAATTACTAATATGAAAGTCTGAAGCAAACTCAAGAGTACTGACCCAGAATTTAAGCAGTCTAGCATATACAAACTTCCTGAAACAGATCAGTAAGCCTTGCAGACTGACATAATCTGGTAATATTTTAGATACCCTTACATAATATTTAACCAATAATTTGACTTTGTGATAAAAATTTCAAAGTTGCATAGCAAGAAGTAATAGCTTTCCACAACTACATTTCTAAGGCATTTCTTTAATGTAGAAGAGACTCACCTTGAGTTCTTTTCTTCTTGCATCAGATGGATCAACAGCAACAGTAACAATGGGTGCACGAATCTCTGAGATAATTTCTGTAACCTGATATCCAAAGTTATAATTCAGAGTACAAGCTTTAATATTTGTCCTATAACAGCAAATGACACCAAACTGCAATACAAAACTCCAAGTAGCCATCTGCCATCTATTGAATAACTGAATAAACTATATAGATAAAAGTAGCATATATTCTGTTTGCTAGACAATTTTAGAACAAAAGACTGAACAATACATCTAACTAAAAACTAAGATTAAATCTGGACACAGTGGCTCACACCTATAATCCTAGCTATTAGGGAGACAAGGCTTGGGAGGATCACAGTTCAAGATCAGTCCAGACAAAACGTTCTGGAGCCCTCATCTCAACCAAAGAAAAAGCTGGGCTGGTGGTAAGTGCCTGTAATCCCAAATACATGGGAAAAGTAAATAGGAGGAATGCAGTCCAGGCTGAGCAGGGCTTAAACATGAGACCCTATCTCAAGAATAACCAAAAACAAAAAGGGTGGGGGGCATGGCTCAAGGTGATAGAGCACCTTCCTAGTAAGCATGAAGCCCTGAGTTCAAACCCAACACTTGAAAAAAGTTAAAGAAAAACCAAAATCATTTCAAAGAAAGGTACGTAGGTACAAAGAAGGTAAAGACAAATCATCCCTCATATATCTGAAAATCAGAAAAATGAATTATGGTGCCTAAAATTAGACATTATAACATAGAATTTTCTGCCTAAAATCCTCAACTCCTCCTTTGCTCAGTTCTGTGGGAGTTAAATAGAATATCCTTTTATTCTTCGTTGGGGTACACAATACATATATAGTGACCACATAAAGAAGGACTTTCCTTTCAGAGCCACTTGGATACTGGAGTTGGCTGATTCAGGAAAAGACTGCCATGCAGGTGAAAGTACCTAAGCAGATGCTGGATAACCATTAACTGGGACATGCTATAGAAGGGATGCATGTAAAAGTATGTACATACAGGGAGCAGGTAGAAGAAATGATCTCTGAATAAACCTATTCATGATTACATGATTCTATGAAAACAATAATACAGATCTCTCATTGGCTAAGCCAGAAAAAAAGTAACACTTTTGGAAGTAGCTGGTAAAGTTTATTTCTACATGTACCAAGCACTTTGTGGACATTATCTCATTGAATAATAAAAGGTAGGTTTCATTGTTATTTTGCAAATGAGTAAAAAAAGCTGGGTAACTTACCCAAAGTCACAACCCAGGTATATGTGACTTGATTCAGCTCTCGGCACTCTAGTACCCAGTGCCTCATGGGCAAAACCTCATTCCACTTTCACCTCCTCCCAAACCTGTTCCATTTCAAATTGACTGAACACAATAGTGTGCACACTAAAAAGAGGGAGATAATTTTCAAAATGTGTGTATGCATGTGTGTCTGTGTGTCTGTGTGTCTGTGTCAGAGAGAGAGAGAGAGAGAGAGAAAGAGACTTGATTTTTAAAAATTTGAAAATCTTTAAAACAAAACTAAAGCAAAGGCAAACCAAAGGTTTTAAAGAGAAATTAAGACAATCTTCAATGTCACTGACCCAAACCTCTTACCCTCATCAAAAATGTGGAAAAATACTTACAATTTGTGTTCTCTTATTATCATCTACAATGATGTGGAGTAGTCTCTCAACAAGAAAAGAAACTAGGGCTATTGGAGTTGTGGGTAGAGTGAGAGTCTCCTGCAAAACAGCCAGCAGTCGTTTCCTGCAGTCAAAAAGATCTATTTAAACTTAATATCACTTTGACAGAATACTTTTTATCCCTAACATTTCCCTTACTCTGCGGATTTACATTTGACTCCATTTCTTACATTTATGTTTCACTATAGGTACAAAAATCCCTATGGATAGGGCACCCATTCTTGGGACATCCTCCCCCTCAAATCTGGGGGCTCTACTCTCCTACTTTATACTTTTCAATAAACTGTCCTGCTTTACTTACCAAAAAAAAAAAAAAAATCACTATGTACAGATGTTAGGCTAAAAAATTCATAAACTATCCTCTGATCTTTAAAATCAACATGATAAGATGACAAAATACTAGAGATGAATCAATCTTTTAAATATTACTACTACTAAAACTCCCCGAAATAAATACAAAGATTTTTAACCAAAACACTGAACTGTCACTGATTCATTCTAAAACAATTGCACTAGGATATATACACACAGACAGACACCCCTATATCACCATGTACCACACAATACTGTTTCAGTCAGCCTGACATGGTGGCACACACCTATAATCACAGCACTTGAAGGGCCAGCAGGAGAACTGAGTTTAAACAACCTGGCTACATAATGAGTTACAGGCCAGTCTTGGGAACAGGGCAAGACCCTGTCTCAAAATACAGATGTTTCAGTCAATGACAGACTGCACATATGCTGGCGGTTGCATAAGGGTTATAACGATGATGGAAAATATCTAATGCCTAATGACGCAGTGGCCAAAGTGATGCAGGAGTCTGACAAATTACTCTGATGATGATGGTATAAACAAACCTACTGCATTGCCAATGATAAAAGGCATAGGACCTAAAAATGTGTAGTACAAAATATTTAATAATAAGTATATATTTACATACTACACTTGATCATTTCTTTAGAATGAACTTTTACATATTAAAAGAAAAGCTTACTGTAAAGCAATATACCATATTATGTTGGAAGCAGTCTTATTATGTCTTGTGTTTATAATCTCCTGATTGTACCAAGAAGGCACATCAATGAATGACCTCTACAAGGAAAACTATAAAAAGACTGAAAGATCCCAAATCAATGACCTAATGTTACATCTCAAACTCCGAGAAAAACAAGAACAAGCAAATCCCAAAACAAATAGAAGAAATACTAAAAATAAGAGCTGAAATCAACTAAATAGAAACCAAAAAAACCATACAAAGAATTAATGAAACAAAAAGTTGGTTCTTTGAAAAAATAAACAAGATCGAAAGACCTCTGGCAAACCTGACTAAAATGAGGAGCCAAAAAACCCAAATTAGTAGAATCAGGAATGCAAAAGGGGAGATAACAACAAACACCATGGAAGTCCAGGAAATCATCAGAGACTACTTTGAGAACCTATATTCAAATAAATTTGAAAATCTTAAAGAAATGGACAGATTTCAAGATACATATGACCATCCAAAACTGAACCAAGAGGAAATTAATCACCTTGAATAGATCTATAACACAAAATGAAATTGAAGCAGCAATCAACAGTCTCCCCAAAAAGAAAAGTCCAGGACCTGATAGATTCTCTGCTGAATTCTATCAGACCTTTAAAGAAGAACTGATACCAACCCTCCTTAAACTGTTCCACAAAATAGAAAGGGAAGGAAAACTGCCAAACACATTTTATGAAGCCAGTATTACACTTATCCCAAAACCAGGCAAAGACACCTCCAAAAAGGAGAACTATAGGCCAATCTCCTTAATGAACATTGACTCAAAAATCCTCAACAAAATAATGGCAAACCAAATTCAACAACACATCAAAAAGATCATTCACCACGACCAAGTAGGCTTCATCCCAGGGATGCAGGGGTGGTTCAACATACGAAAATCAATAAATGTAATAAACCACATTAACAGAAGCAAAGACAAAAACCACTTGATCATCTCAATAGATGCAGAAAAAGCCTTTGATAAGATCCAACACCATTTCATGATAAAAGTTCTAAGAAAACTAGGAATAGAAGGAAAGTACCTCAACATTATAAAAGCTATATATGACAAACCTACAGCCAGCATTATACTTAATGGAGAAAAACTGAAACCATTCCCTCTAAAATCAGGAACCAGACAAGGATGCCCACTATCCCCCACTCCTATTCAACATAGTACTGGAATTACTAGCCAGAGCAATTAGGCAAGAAGGAATAAAAGGAATACAAATAGGTAAAGATACTGTCAAAATATTCCTATTTGCAGATGACATGATCCTATACCTTAAAGACCCAAAAAAACTCTACTCAGAAGCTTCTAGACATCATCAATAGCTATAGCAAGGTAGCAGGATATAAAATCAACATAGAAAAATCATTAGCATTTCTATACACTAACAATGAGCAAACTGAAAAAGAATGTATGAAAATAATTCCAATTACAATAGCCTCAAAAAAAATCAAATACCTAGGTGTAAACCTAACAAAAGATGTGAAAGACCTCTACAAGGAAAACTATAAACTTCTGAAGAAAGAGATTGAGGAAGACTACAGAAAGTGGAGAGATCTCCCATGCTCATGGATTGGTAGAATCAACATAGTAAAAATGTCAATACTCCCAAAAGTAATCTACATGTTTAATGCAATTCCCATCAAAATTCCAATGACATTCATTAAAGAGACTGAGAAATCTACACAAGAGGCCACGAATAGCCAAGGCAATACTCAGTCAAAAGAACAATGCTGGAGGTATCACAATACCTGACTTCAAACTATATTACAAAGCAATAATGATAAAAACAGCATGGTACTGGCACAAAAACAGACATGAAGACCAGTGGAACAGAATAGAGGACCCAGATATGAAGCCACACAACTATAACCAACTTGTCTTTGACAAAGGAGCTAAAAATATACGATGGAGAAAAAGCAGCCTCTTCAACAAAAACTGCTGGGAAAACTGGTTAGCAGTCTGCAAAAAACTGAAACTAGATCCATGTATATCACCCTATACCAATATTAACTCAAAATGGATCAAGGATCTTAATATCAGACCCCAAACTCTAAAGTTGATACAGGAAAGAGTAGGAAATACTCTGGAGTTAGTAGGTATAGGTAAGAACTTTCTCAACGAAACCCCAGCAGCACAGCAACTAAGAGATAGCATAGATAAATGGGACCTCATAAAACTAAAAAGCTTCTGTTCACCAAAAGAAATGGTCTCTAAACTGAAGAGAACACCCACAGAGTGGGAGAAAATATTTGCCAGCTACACATCAGACAAAGGACTGATAACCAGAATATATAGGGAACTTAAAAAACTAAATTCTCCCAAAACTAATGAACCAATAAAGAAATGGGCAAGTGAACTAAACAGAACTTTCTCAAAAGAAGAAATTCAAATGGTCAAAAAAAAATGAAAAAATGCCCCCCATCTCTAGCAATAAAGGAAATGCAAATTAAAACCACACTAAGATTCCGCCTCACCCCTGTTAGAATAGCCATCATTAGCAACACCACCACCAACAGGTGTTGGCGAGGATGGGGGAAAAAGGTGGGAATGTAAACTAGTACAACCACTCTGGAAAAAAGTTTGGAGGCTACTTAAAAAGCTAGACATTGATCTACCATTTGATCCAGCAATACCACTCTTGGGGATATACTCAAAAGACTGTGACACAGGTTACTCCAGAGGCACCTGCACACCCATGTTTATTGCGGCACTATTCACAATAGCCAAGTTATGGAAACAGCCAAGATTCCCCACCACTGATGAATGGATCAAGAAAATGTGGTATCTATACACAATGAATTTTATGCAGGCATGAAGAACGAAATGTTATCATTTGCTGGTAAACGGATGGAATTGGAGAACATCATTCTGAGTGAGGTTAGCCTGGCCCAAAAGACCAAAAATCGTATATTCTCCCTCATATGTGGACATTAGATCAAGGGCAAACACAACAAGGGGATTGGACTTTGAGCACATGATAAAAGCGAGAGCACACAAGGGAGGGGTGAGGATAGGTAAGACACCTAAAAAATTAGCTAGCATTTGTTGCCCTTAAGGCAGAGAAACTAAAGCAGATACCTTAAAAGCAACTGAGGCCAACAGGAAAAGGGTACCAGGAACTAGAGAAAAGATTAGATCAAAAAGAATTAACCTAGAAGGTAACACACACACACAGGAAATTAATGTGAGTCAACTCCCTGTATAGCTATCCTTATCTCAACCAGCAAAAACCCTTGTTCCTTCCTATTATTGCTTATACTCTCTCTTCAACAAAATTAGAAATAAGGGCAAAATAGTTTTTGCTGGGTATTGAGGGGGTCGGGGGAAGAGGGAGGGGGTGGAGTGGGTGGTAAGGGAGGTGGTGGGGGCAGGGGGGAGAAATGACCCAAGCCTTGTATGCACATATGAATAATAAAACAATAAAAAAAATAAAGAAAAGAAGGCTCATCAAGCAATTGAACTATGCCATCTAGGCTTGTGTAAATACACACTGTGATGCTTGCACACCAACAAAATCACCTAACAACACATATCTCGGGTTTCTTAGAATGTGTACTATTGCTAAATAACATATAATTGTGTAAGTGTGTGTACAGATGGAAATATACATAAAACGAAAGGGAAAAGAAAACTTTTTATAGTACCTTCAAGAGCTAGGGTAGATATATTTAATCATATTACAACACAGCTATATTTAAATAAAGGAAATTAGAAGAACACACCAGAACAAGTGTTAACATTTAGACACACCTTCCTCCTTCTTCGCTGGTATCCAAAGACTTGATAATTAGAATCAACTGCTGACCTATGAACTCTTTTGTCATCAAGTTTTCAATGTAGGAAAAATCGCTTCTCTGTTCTTCATTAACTACTGGAATACTCTGGATGTAACTAAAACGAGAATTAATACAATAGACTCTGTTAAGAAATACAAAATAATTTCCACCTTTATGTCAGAAAAAGATCGTTTTGAATTCATATTAGTCCAATGCATAGATGTTTATATCACGTAATAATAACCCGGTCTAGAGAGTAAATTCTATGCTATTGTAATGAACTTTAGTAAACATATTAATGAATCAAAAGAATTTGGAAAATGTACTTTCATTAGTGATTCAATTTTCTACAGAAAATTTTCAAAAGATGCATCTTTTGTCTCTGAAATTTATAACTACTTCAATGTCACTTACATTTTCCCAATTATAAATTTCTACATCTCTTGTGCAAAAATCCAATTAGTCATAAAGATCTCATCTTTCCTCGTGCAATTATCATTCTTTTGTTTAAAATAATAGTGGTAGTAACAATAATAATACACAGTAATCCATTAATACAATGGTTTTTTTAAATGAGAAAAATATGGACAGTTTCACAAACTTGCATTATCCTTTCTTATTTCACCCATCTTTCTTCTTCTTTAAAGAAGGTGCTGCTAAACAGCACCATAAACTATCTTTTATTCTTACGATCAAAGGCTAAATGAAAACCTCTTTCAACCCTTACACCAAGATAATATTCAGTAGTCTACCACAAAGGTCTCCTTTTTTTGTGCAGAACCAATTAATAAATAAATAAAACTACATAAAAGCAAAATTAAGAGTTTAAGCTTCAACAATGAGGTGTCTTTTAGGTTAGAACATACAATACTGCCTTGGTGAAAAAGCTGCCATTTAAAAATGTTTACAAAAATCAAATTATAGAAATAGTAGACTACAGAATGAACAGATTCTTGTCTGTTATAAAAATGAGAACCAAGGGTAAAGAAAAGTTTATAAATCTCTGGTTTTGAGATTAGGACCTTTAAGACATTAGTTACCCTTTAATTACTGCAAGAAACTTGTAAAACAAGATGAGTGATCATTATTGAAAATTAATAGATCAGAACAGGTATTGTTTTCTGACAGGCTTTAAAAAAAATGTGTGTCAGTGACTCACACCTGTAATCCTAAATACTGACGAGGCTGAGATTGGAAAGATCATAGTTTGAGGCCAGCCCAGGAAAATAGTCCATGAGACTCCCATTTTCAAAATAACCAGAACAAAATGGACTGGAGGTGTGGTTCAATTGGTAGAGCTCCTGCTTTGTAAGCATAAGTTCAAACCTCAGTTCCACCAAATAAGCAAAACAAAACAAAAAAACTTTCCTTTAGTTTTGTACTCCTTTTTGTATTAATTCTCCACCCCATTATTAGCACAATGTATATCATCATGACTGAGGGTATTTTTGAGGAAAAGTCAAATAGCTGTTTCATTAATAGATTAAAAATCATCAACTGCACAAATACAATTTAAAACAGATGTATTAATTTTAATTACCATGAAATCTTCTTAGTAACCATTTTTAAAGCTTTTCATTATTATGAAGAGGCTATTAAGTCTTCTTTTAAAGATTTTAAACAATATGTACATTTAGGGTAACTTCCTATAAGTTTTATTGCTATATAAAAAAGAGCTTTTAAAAAGACTTTCCATAATAGTTATGGATATCATTTCAATGAAATGATAATCCTCATTTATAGCCCTCTGCTCTGTTTCTGTACCTCACTGAGGTAATCCTATCTAATGATGCTGCTCCCAAAAGAAAGTTATTCTAAAGTATTCTTTCAACAATGATTAAAATATTTTTAAAGTTTTCATCTTTGTAAGTGAAGAAAGTTAATTAAGTTACTTGTTTCGAAACTCACAGACTAATAAAGGAAATATAAAGGCTGACATCTTAGAACGAGTCCTTGAGGAACGGCTGCCCCCATTTAAATAATTAACATTTCTTCATATTTTCTTGTATTTTCCCTATATTCTAAAAGCTTATTTTTATATTAACCCATTTTATTAAACACTGCCTTAAACTCATTCCAGTTTCAACATGGCCCAAATAGTATTATAAGGAGTAATTACATATCAAAATCTGAAATAACAACCATTCTCTAATAAGATTAGAGTCACATGTTTTTCATGATATTAACATGGGCTCAAGCTGTAAGTTTCCATACTGGCTCACTCTGGAGATATTTATCCTGGATTCAGGATTTTGCATGGAAAATTCAAAAACATTCACAGCTTTGCTCCCTAACTTATATGTGGGACTATAATAAACAAAAGCAGAGAACTATATTTCACACAAAGAAAAAATCAAGCTCACAGTATACATTATTTGGAAGCCTTTCAAAATATGCACTAAAAGCATAAAACCAAAAATCTATACACTGATATCTATCAAAATATATTATATAAAATATAACCTTTAGCCCAGCAGTTCTACTTCTGGGAATTGAACCCCACAAAATCTGAAATGTACAAGGAAATTTACACAGCTTTCTTCTTAATCAGTGAACACTGGAAACAACTGTAAATGTCCACCAACAAAGGAATGAATTAAGTTACCACTATCCTATGGAACAATAAACTTTTGTTAAGACTAATACATTTGCATGCACCAACATACATTGATTTCATATATCAACAGTTGAAAAGAACGGTATGTATGGTATGCTATATTTTTAAAAAGAAACCTCTGCATACAATTAAAACTGTGTACATAAATGCAGAGAAAAATTGGAGAGTGAACACCACAAATTGTAAGATGATGGATGGAACTGGGGAAGCAAAAGATAAAAAGGGGAACTCCATGCTTTTATTCTATGAGCTTCTGTATTTGAATTTTTATAAGCATGCATATTTTACTAATGTAATTTTATAGTGAAATAAGTAGAAACTACAGTAATCCAAATAATTTAAGAAAAAAAAGGTATTTTGAAAAAAAAATACTTTAAAACAAAAAGCCACACAATTTTTAATATAAAACTGGCCATCAAAATCCACACTGTGAATCTGAAACTACAGCTCATACACCAAATCTAATGTGTTTTTATACAGCTTGTAAGAATAATTTTACATTTTAATGGTCATTAAAATTAAAAAAAATTGTTACACGAATATCAAATAAAATTCCAGATTTAGTGTCCACAACAGTCAATAAATAGAACTTACTAATTTACATATTGTGGCTGCTTTTGCGTTACTATGACAGAGTTGAGTCGTTGTGAAAGGAATGATATAGCTCACAATCCTAAAATATTTACTGTAAGGCCCACAGAAACTGTTTATCAATAAATTTCAAAAAGTACCAGTCATCTTCGTCAGCTTTATGGAGAAATGCTCATAATCATGTCTTAAAAAGTTTGAGGAAATAACATAAATACATTGATTAAACATACTGACTTTGTGTTCTTTCAGCATACTAATAAACACTGGATGTTCTTCAGAAACATTCAAGGTGCATTCCCATTTACCCCAACATGTCCAAAAAAGAAAGGGGGCAGTGGTTAGAGGGAACTTATTTCCAACCAAGCATGACTTTAACGATGGAAGTTGAAAGACCGACACAGCAACACAAGCACATTCCAAACCAAACAAACAATTTTTACCTCAGTAAATACTCTGCATACATTACAGGTTCCGGCAAAATCTGCTCTAAAAATTCTTCACCTTCATCTCCTTTTGATTTCAAATATTCACAAAGGGCACGCCAATACAAAGCAATTTCAGGAGTTAATGTTTCCACTGGAATCAATTTCCTTTATTTAAAAGGAAGGGAATAAGAGAAAGCATGACCTATCCAGTTAAAAAACAGAAGAATGGAAGTAAGAAGCAGATTTGATTTGTACCCACCATTCTTTTAATTACACTTATTATCCACACAAAAAGGAATGAAAAAAACTTCAATCCAAGAGAAAAAGAAGGAAAAGATTCAAAAAGTATGCATATAACAGGGATGTGATTTTGGATTTTCTTAAGGTAAGCTAATGCAAAAAACAAAGTAAAATAATGAAGTGGAAAGGGAAAAGAACATAGCTAAAGCAGATACTCTATGATAAAGTAATGAGTTCTCACACTAGGGAGGAAAAGCAAGAGAAAAAACATAAATCACAGTAAAGAAAAGAGGGATAGATCAAAGGCAACGATATAATCTGAAGTTACGGACAGGAAAAACTGATTTTAATTGCAGTTTATCAGCAGTACAATACAAATCATGTACCTGCCATCATTATCTTTACAGATTACCACAAGCTCATTGAGAGGAGTCATTGAAAATAAGGCATTGAGAACAGAGACTGCCACTTCAGAAGAATTTTCCACATCCAATCGATGAAGCAACTCCAAAATATTCCCTTCAGTGAAACGTAACCAGCTCTGGAGAAGATGCTTCTGCATTGCTTGTTTCACAGCATCTATTGAGTCATTTGAAACACAGGTAAACAAAAGCTCCCCCTAGCTTTTATTTCCTGTATCTTTGTCTATTCTAATTAACTTTTATTAGGTCAATATTAACATAAAGTTGATATTTAAAAATGGAGATTATAGGTAGAACAAAGCATACTAAAAGAAATAAATGTATAGTGATATTACAAAAGTCGAACAGGTTCAGCACCAAATACCCAACCACTACTGTAATCTATAAAAAAAAACAAAAACAAAAACAATCTGCATTCCTTCTCACCGGGTTTCATGGGCATCAGAATATAAAATATTTATTATTTCACTTATTGCCTGATTTCAACTATTATGAGATAGCTGTTTGCAGTAGTGAATCATCACAAATAAATATTACTGAACTGACCCCATTCTCTAGTCAGTAGTCCTCTGACAATGATTTCAAACTCAAGTTGGTTTGCTTGCTACAGCAAAACTGAGCCATCCTGGCCTTCTCATAGGAGCTGGGAATTTAAAAACACATTCCTATAAGCAGTTTCTCTGATGTGACAGGTGCAGGGATGGGAGGATTAGACTGGTCTGACCATTCTTGTTTCTGATACACAGAAAACATTTATGTTTAAGTACACACACACAAGGACAATACTTTTTAAGAAAGAGAAAAGGCAAAGATAGTCCAACTTCTGACATGAATTAACTTCACAGAATTAAGAATAGTTTCTCTATCTTTAAAAAACAGGCAGGCTGAAATAATTCCTGCTCCTTCAAAATAACCAAGATCTTTAACCTTAGGAAAAGTTTTGTATATACTATAACAGGATAAATTCCACCAAGTTTATGAGAATGACAGCCTTACTCAATCTAATTTATAGTACTGTTTCCTAAACCTCAGTAAGTCTTTGAAATCTACTAAAGTTTACAAAGATGTATATCTTACCTGATCTGTCGTTAAGACCTTGTTGAAAGAGCATTACTCTCTGAGCAATGGACATAGCTCTCATATGAACCTTTTCAGCTACAATCTTAAAAAGATAATAATAAAAAATGGCTAGTAACTTCAATACAATGTATAGATTTTTTACCTAGTAAGACAGCACCCGTCTTAAAAGATTAATGAGAATCTCCAAAACTATTAGTATCTATAAATACATTTAATACAGTATGATTCCACTTAAATTACCTACTTTAGCCAAATAATCTTAGAGAAATCATTAGTATGCACTAAGTATTTTTCAAAAGCACCTTAAGAAAACAGCATGTCTTTGAACAATATGCCTATATAAGGTATTACACTTTTTACCTGATAAGCCAGCTTTCTGACATTTTCTTTTACATCTTTGGTGCGTTCTACAATTTTTGGCAAAGTCTTTGCTGATGGTGCAATACATGATAACACTGCACGCCTAACTTCTGGATTTGAATCATTTTCAATCAAAGTAGCATATGCTAAAAATAAAGTGATACATTTTAATACTAAAGAAATTCTTTAATACTAGTCATAAAATAACCCACATTTTGATATTCTTTAATGTTATGAAAATGACAGATACCATGTTTTTAGTCTTACACATTTACCTAAAAAATTTTTCCACCAATGGAGGGGGTGAATTCAAGTATGGTATATTTGATATAAGAACTTTTGTAAATGCTACAATGTGCCCCACCCAGTACAATAAAATAAAAAATACATAAATAAATAAAATGGGAAAAAAATATTTTCTACCAAGTTCCCAAGACCAGAATGAGAAATTAGTAAATGGGCAGAGAAGGAAGGCTCTAACAAAAAACAACTCAAAAGTTGTTGTCAAAAAAAAGTTTTTTATAGCAGGCAGTTTATTTTAAACCAATATAGTTTCATAAGGAGGTATTATTAGCATTATTACTATTACTACTATTATTATTATCAGCAGCAGCATTTGGCAGTACTGGGTATTGAACTCAAGACTTGGCTCTTGCTAGGCAAGCACTCTACTACTTGAGCGACATCCCTAGTTCTTTTGCTTTCAGTTTGTTTCTTGGATAGGGTCTCCTGCTTTTGCCGGCCAACCTCAGACCTGGATACTCCTACTTCTACCTCCAAAGTACCTGAGATTACAGGCATACACCACCAAACAAGACTTGGTTTTGCCCAGGCTGGCCTCAAACCATGATCCTCCTATCTCTGCCACTAGAGTACCTGGGATTACAGCTTTTTTGATTTTTTAATGAGTGATAAAAAGAAACAATTTCTGATTTTACTCATAGAAACAAACTTATATTTAAATGTATTTATTAACCTGTATTTATGACATTGTCCACATCTTTCTTATCAAGTCCATGTTGAGTATCAAACATGTTTTATGCATATTTTATTACATGTATCATTTAACACCAAAACAGTATAACTACTACAAGCTACCAGAATTGATTAGAAAACTGGCAACAGAAGCAAAGAGAACAGTGAAACACAACAGTATCCAAAATATGGTTAGGCATATAAGGAAAACTAAAATATGAACATCCTTATAAAATATGAATATCCTTGTAACAGAGGAAGAGTAAGATTTTTTTAAGTGAGACAAAAAGTACAAATCATAATAGTACAGATTATAATTTTGACATTAGACTTCCTGTTCAACAAAAAGATACCCAAAAAAATGAAAGAATGAGCCATCAAGAGCAGGAAGAGATCTACATTTCATATAATCCAAGGATTTTTCAGAATAAAGAATTCCAATAAACCAATTAAATTTTTATTTTTATAATAAAAACCTAATAGAAAAATAGATAAAACACATTACATAAGCATCATAAATACATTCATGCATACATAATGATGCTTTGGTCAATGACAAACTGCATATATAATAGTAGCCTCATAAGATTATGATAGAGCAGAAAACTTCTATCACCTAGTGATGTTTTAGTGGTAATGTTACAGTCCAGTGCATTGCTTGTGCGTTTGTGTTGATGCTGATGTAAACAAACTTACCATACTGACAGTTACATAAAATACAAGTATGGCGCATACAATTATGTACAGTACATAATACTTGATAGTAAATGACTGTATTACTGATTTGTTATTCCCTATACCATTGTTTTGGACTTTACGCCTCCTACTTATGAAGTTTACTGAAAAACAGTGTACCATGTTATGCTGGCAGCAGCCTTAGGTATCTCATTTTCAATGGATCTCTTGATTTCACCAAGAAGCCACAATGAGTGATGAACTTGTACCATCCATACTTGTTCGAGAACACTCTGTGATGTTCTCAAAACAAAATCCACTAACAACACATTCCTCAAAATGAATCCCCATCCTTATGCAATGCATGACCGTATAATTGACTGTTCAATGCATGAAAAGATGGGTTGGATGTACTATATACATACTACCAGACTTTTTAATCTGATAACACTAAACACTAGAGAGGATATGGATCAATGAACACTTCCACCTCCCCTTACTGGGAATATTAATTGGTAAACCATTTGTAGAATACTTGTACCTTATCTAATAAAGTTGAAGCCACATATATCCTAAGAAGTCTACCTCTAAGTATAAACCCTACAAAAACCATTTAACCTATGACCAGGAACCATTTATTAGAAAATTGCTAACAGTGTTTTTAAAAGCAAAATAACTGAAAACAACTAGAGGGCCCATTAACATTAAAAATGATAATCTTTTGGCTGGGCACAGTGGCTTACCCCTGTAATATCAGCTACTTGGGAGGTGGAGATCAGGAGAACTGCAGTTTGAAGCCAGCCTGGGCAAAAAAGTTAGTGAGATCCCATTTCAACCAATAAGCTGAGCATGGTAGCCCAGCTTAAGCTGTCATCCCAGCTTCGAGGGAGGCATAGATAGAAGGATCATAGTCTGGCTGGCCAGGACAAAAAACAGTGAGACCCTATTCTAAAAATCACTAAAGAAAAACAGGTCTGGAGGTATGGCTGAAGTGGTAGTGTGCCTGCCTAGCAACTGCAAAGTCCTGAGTTCAAACCCCAGTACTTCCAAAATAATAATAATAAACTGTTAACTTCATACATCAGAATGCTATAATGTAACAAAAAAAGTATCATCATGGATGAATGCTAGAATTAGAAATAATTTTGAGGAAAAAGTCAAAAACGTATAGAATGATTCACACAAAATGACAGGCAAAAGTTTAACATTAAGATAGACATGTGATTAAGTTATTTAATTAAAATTTCATTTTAAAAAATAAGGGAATAATTAACTCAAAATTCAGGATAATACTAACCTCTAAGGGAGAAGGCTATAACTGGGGAGAGCAGGGTAAGCCTCAAAGATACTGATAATAATCTTTTTTTAAATTGTTGGATGGCTGCTACTGGGATATATACTCTGCCATATTATATAGTTGATGATAAACAAAATTCACCTACTGAGAAGTTAAAATCAACAAGACTGAAACAAGATTCAGGAAAGACACATACCATTAACCACGGGGCATTCATCATCCTTGGGATCCTGGAGTCGAGAAAGAGCCAGTACTGCCTGTATTCTCACATTTGGAATCTTATCTTTCAATCTAGTAAGCATGGCTTCATTAATTCTATCAAACAAATCATCATCGATCTGAGCATTTTCCGGCATACTTCCCAGAAGCTTGTTTATGAGCTGGCACACTCTAAACCTGACTGCATTGCTGTTTGCTTCATGACACTACACAAAACAAGTCAGAAGTTATTCCTAGTTACATACCAATCCTAAATAGTCCATACCATTTTAACTCTAGATGGAATTTAAGAAGTGACAACAATAATCCATGACTTGCAGAGAAACTACAATGCATGTGCAACTAAATACACTTTTATACAGTCTCAAAAAATCTGAAAAAAGTATTTACTAAATTACAAAAGCATATTCCTCTTTGTAGGAACTCTTCACTTTTAAACTAGAACTCATTTTAAAACAAACATGGGAGAACTGTTTTAAATGGGTTATTAAAAAATGAATGCTGGAATTACTTTAAAAGTCCACCTTTTTATATTAATAACAGTTAAGCTACCCTATAAAAAGACAAGACTCGTTCACAGATCTTTTTTCAATCACCAGGTATCTGTCTAAAATACACATACTTTATGGTCAAACCTTCCACAATGCTCCCCAAAGTGCTAGTATTCATAGTACCTTTAAGAGAAAAGTAAGCAAATAATTTAAAATGCCACCATCTTCTTCCTCCTCCTCCTCCTCATCTTTCACATCCGATTGGTGAAATGATGTAACAAACTTTGCTGCAAATTCTATCACTCTTTCCACAGCTGGCTCACGCTTGTAGACCACCATGGCATATTTAAGATAGTGAACGAACTCCTCCTGAAAAACTGTTTTGTCATCCACCTGAGAGACAAAAGAAACTCCTCATAAACTGCACTGACAAAAAATTCCTTTATTCCCAACATTACCTTCCTACTGCTGCAAGCACTAGCCATAAATCAGACACATTAAGCTCTTTATTTAGCAAACTTCCAATTATCAAAACCGAATAAATCTGCAAACGTTTCTCCAGCCTATGATTTGCACCTCTCAAAAAGCACACAGCTTGAATTTTGATTTTTTCCCAAATACCCGTGAACGCTCAATATGCGTTTATCAGTGTAGTACAAACACACTTTTTCATGAATAATTCAAAACCAACACTGCTTTTTGTATGCTTTCATATTTAGGTCTATCACCAGCAATTTCTTTTTTGGTATAACATGCTATCCCATTACAGTAATTTAATTTCTCTCGGACTCCAAAGTACTATCTCATCTCCAAATTCATTGTCCCATCCTCCCTACGAATAGGACGGACCAGAGCCTAATGATTACTTGGACACTTGGTGACTGGGTTCAATTTAAGCGAGGTTGAGGCTGGATAACAAGATTGGCCTTTCTGCTGTGAGCAGGGACCGAAGGTGACACTTGGTGCCTGGGTCGCTGCTCGTAAACATTGCTCTGAAGTTCAACGTCGGACGAAGGATGAACTGTCCACAGCGGCCCAGGGACCGAAGGGATGGTCAAGGTTGGTGCAGAAAAGCAAAGGAGCGGCTCTGGGGAACCACGCCCTGTGATCCGAGCATTGACATGGGCCCGGGGGACCTCGGGCAGGTCGCCTGGTCACCGTTAACTTTGGGTCTCTTTGAAGCGGATGGTGAAGGTGAACAAGGTTGGAGGCAAAGTGCGCTCAGTCCCAAGGGCCACCAGAGACCCCAGGGGAAGGCTGGGCGGGGCCGGGGGCGGCGCCGAGGCCGGGGACCTGGACCTGGACCTGGACGGGGAGCAGCGCGGCGCTTACCGTGCCGTAGGTGCGGCTCAGCGCCACCACCAGCTTCGCCTGGTTTTGGTGCGGCTGCTGCGCCAGCTGAAAAGCCTCCTTAATGGACAGCAGCCTCTTCTCGGCTCCCATGGCGTCGGGACGAGCACTTCCCGCGCTGCGTGGCACCTGACCGACAGCCCCAAGCCCCACTTCGCAGATTTCTCGGACTTCTTCCTGCCCGCCGGCCTCAAAGCGTCCAAGGCGCGCTTACCGCCGGAGCTTTCAAATAATTCCCGCGGGAGGAGGAAATACCGCGAGACTTCCACGAGAGGTGGGGAAGCGGGAAGCCGTGAGTACACGCCCATCAAACCCCGTGTCTTGTGCGCATGCGCCTAGCGTAGGTCCAGCCGTTTTCCAGGTGGGGGGTGGTGGGTCTAAGCAGAGGGAGCGTTGGCTCGGCCGGAAGTTGTGTCGTCAAGGAGATCGAACGGAGCGGCATTGCGACATTCGAGACAAGGCTGGTGGCGCAAGGCGTAGCGGCATCGTGCGGCTGGGGGTGAGGCGAGAAAGCAGAAAGCATCCTCCATGGTGAGAACAGGGAGTCTGCTGAGGGGAGCCATCTCTGCTTTGGCCGAAGGGGTAGGGAGTTCCGAGAGGAGGGGGGCGTTTGGGACGCCTGGGCTGCAGCCGGGATGCTGCTGAGAAGGGACTTTCCTTGGGCCTGGCGAGGGGGCGTTCCGAGTTCTCCCGATGAACACAGACTGCGGTCCTGTAGAGCTGTAGGTCCTGGCCTGGTGAACGGCAGGCTGAGGTTCTGCAGCCGGCGGGGGGCGTCTGGGAAGCCCCGCGGAGAGAAACGCGGTGTCGTTTAACCGCGGCCAGCTACAGGCTCCAGCTTTGGAGGCCTACTTTCCATGCGTGCATAGCGACACTGTAGTACTAAACAAAGGAGAAGTCAGAATGCAAAGGTCTTCAGGTCGTGGTGAACCGACACAACGGGAAGCAGGAACTAAATCCTTACATGCGCTTTTTTTTTTTTTTTAATGAAAGTATCTCAGATAAAAATGAATATACCTCCGTTGGGACCCAGGACGTACCACTCCAAAATATGACAGTAGAAGACCAGAATAAGCCACCCCAAAGGAGACTTACCTGGGGTATTTCTGGCTGGTTATTCGAGAAATCGTAGTCACGGATGTAGCTTTGAAAAGTTATCTTTTTGTAAAAGACATTTGCATCTATGAAAGGAAATCTATTTTAGTGAAGTATCGGAAAGAGAACTGCACCCAGACAAACTTTTTCTATTTAGAAATTTCATTTTCTTGACCGTTCAAACTTTAGTCATCATTTTCGTCCTCCCCCCACCTTTCCATAACTTGTGTCACAACCCCCTCCCCTAGAAGCTTCAAGCTCCTGTTCCTTTCTGTAGCTAGTGTGGGGTCTGAGGTTTAATCTTGACCCTTCTAGTTTCGTGGCTGGTGGGACTCATAATGACTTTGTACATTAATTACTACGTGTTAATGTCTTTTGTCAACTTAATTCATAACCCAAGCAATGAACCTAGGGTGGGGGAGGGGAACTGTTTTCCCTTCCCCTGCACCTCAGTACCTACTGCCAGTGGAAAAAAATAGAACTTTACAAAGCTGCCTGTAAACCTTTCTCCTTTCAAATCTTCTTCCTCACTATGCAGGAGTAACATCTTTTTAAATGTACTTTTAACTTTCACCACCCAAATTTTTATGTATTAATGTCATGAATAAATCTGAGTAAGAGAATACTGAATACTGTTTTGGAAATAGACACAGCTTGCTTTAGGACTGTTTTATGACTATGCAGTAACTATTGTTTCGTATTCCTAATTCCTGAAATTTTGTAGATATACAAACGCTAAAGCGACGAATGTGGTAGCATTTGAGTTGCCTGTAATTTTGAAATTAGCAAAATGTCTAATTTTGGAAAAGACAAGGTATTCCAGGTTAATCAGCCACAGCAAAAGTATAGAGGCATAAGAATACATGAAATATACTGATAACATTTATAATCTCACTGTAACTAAAATGCAGAATGCAGGGAAAACTGGTAAAAGAAACCTAGAAAGGATATTCATTTTTTAATCAAATATGTCCAAGATCACTTCAGCATGTTATCAAAATAAATTATCAGTGAGATAATTTTACATTCTTTTTTTCTCAGGAAGTCTTTGCAATCCAGTATTACTTTACACTGACCACATTTCAAGTGTTGAGTAGGTACTGGACACCAGTGTCTGTATAGCGTTGGACAGCACAGAAACTCTGCCTCAGACATAGACAAGTGCTCAACACCAATAAGAATTTTCATTCCATTTCCTCAGTTACTGACAGATGAGGAATCTGCCCACCAGAGGTCAGTCTTAACTATGTTTTAAATTAGCTTTTTTTTTTTTAATGATTCATGCCATGTTTTTAGTCAGTATTTTTTGAACATTATAATCTGAAAAAACTTTAAAGATATTATATTAAACATCATACAGCCTCACTGTTGTGAAGCTTATGTGATTGGGTTTTTTTTTATTTTTGTTTTCTTTTTGTAGTATTGAGGACTGAACCGAAGGCCTTACACAGCAAGGGCTCTACCACTTGAGCCATGCCTCCACCTCTTTTTGGTCTGGTTATTTTAGGGGCAGGATATTGCTTTTTTTGCCCAGGTGGGCCTGGATGGCCATACTCCTAATTTATGCTTCCCCTTGTGGCTAAAATTATAACTACACACCACCACACCCAGCATTTTTCTGTTGAAATAGGGTGGTGAAATTCTTTTGTCCGTGATCCTCCCAATCCCAGTATCACTGGAATGACAGGCACTCACCACCATGCCCAGCTATTGGTTGAGATGAAGTCTCACAAACTTTTTTGCCTGGGCTGGCCTTGAACCGTGATCCTTCCCATCTTGTCCTCCCAGGTAGCAGGCATTCAGCTAATTCAGTTTTTGTTGTTATTGTTGTTTTATTAGCATATATAGTTGTATCAGGGTACATTGTGACTTTTACAAAAGTGTTTACAGTATATCTTAGATTCTTCCCCTCCATCTTTCTTCTTATCTCCCCTCCAACCTTTTCTTAGAACAGTTTCAACACATCTCAGTGTTCCATTTTCATACTAATTCAGTTTTGATATGGAAAAAATATGTATGTGGAATATAAAGGTATAACAGTGATGGGCTCCATTTTGTGTGTCTAGAATCATATATACACCCTTAAATAGACTTTTCCTGTCTTATTGCTGGTTTTAAAAGTAGAATAACTTTTAAGCTTTGAATAACAAAAACTGAAATATAACCAGCTAGAAATCTTGTAGATGCAGTCTACAAAAAATGAAAACAGTAAAAATGTAAGCAGACTGTACATTAAACGTAAATCCCTCCTGTCTCAATGAAATAAGGACATACAATTGCATTAAGTAATGTTGTAAACAAAGATTAAAAGTACTTAACCTCAGACTGGAGACATGACTCAACTGGTAGAGAACCTGCCTAGCAAAGCGTGAGACCCTGAGTTCAACCCCAAGTACCACCAAAAAAAAAAAAAGTATTCATGTTTCATAAAGATAATGTTTTATATAGTTTTTCTTTGTTTTGATGCAGTAGCATCATCTTTGTCAATACTACTTTTAAAAGTATTACTAAATCACAAAAATATAATTTGGAAATTTTTCTAGAACTCGAATAAAATGGAACATGCTTATGTAATGATTTACTGTAGGCAGGACTTAGTAAATATATTCTTTCAAATATATTCCAGACATTGTGTTGGGAACCAAAGCATATAAAAAAAGGATGTGTGGAAGCCAGAGAACTCACCAGAAGAAAATTACCAACCTGAGGTCATACCATTATACCATGTTAGCACAACTGAGTATTTGAAAGTGAAGATGCTCACTGGCTTTAATTTTGGAAAATACCCCTTCAGGATGGCTTAAGTGGAATATTGACATTGTTTCTTGCTTTTTTTCATTTAGAGCTATGCCCCCTAGGCTGGTGGAGTGGCTCAAGTGGTAAGAGTACCTGTCTAAAAGGACTGATAACCAGAATGTACAGGGATCTCAAAAAACTAAACTCCCCAAAAATCAATGAACCAATAAAGAAATGGGCAGCTGAACTAAACAAAACTTTTTCAAAAGAAGAAATTCAAATGGCAAAAAAACACATGAAAAAATGCTCACCATCTCTGGCCATAAAGGAAATGCAAATCAAAACCACACCAAGATTCCACCTCACTCCTGTTAGAATAGCTATCATCAAAAACACCACCAACAACAAATGTTGGCAAGGATGCAGGGGAAAAAAGAACCCTCGTACACTGCTGGTGGGAATGCAAGCTAGTACAACCATTCTGGAAAACAATATGGAGGCTTCTTAAAAAACTGAACATAGATCTGCCATATGATCCAGCAGTCCCACTCCTACGGATATACCCAAAGGAATGTGACTCGGGTTACTCCATAGGCCCCTGCACACCCATGCTTATTGTAGCACTATTCACAATAGCCAAGTTATGAAAACAGCCAAGATGCCCACTACTGATGAATGGATTAAGAAAATGTGGTATTTATACACAATGGAATTTTACTCACCCATGAAGAAGAATGAAATCTTATCATTTGCAAGTAAATGGATGGAACTGGAGAACATCATCTTAAAGTTAGCCAGGCTCAGAAAGCCAAAAATCGTTATGTTCTCCATCATATGCGGACTTTAGATCTAAAATAAATACAGTAATATTATTAGACATGGATGCTAAGGAGAGGACACATACAGGAGGAGTAGGGAAAGGCAGGAAACCCAAAACTTGAAAATGTTTGATGTCCCCACTGCAGAGGAGCTCATACAGTAACCTTAAAGCGACAGGTCAATATGGAAGGTGACCGGGATGTAGTGAAGAGGTCTGGTAGAGATGAATCAATTCGGGTTGTAATACACTTGTGCATGGAAGCAATGCTAGAAATCTCTCTGTATAGCTATCCATATCTCAAACTACCAAAATTCTGTGTCTTCCTTATTGCTTATGTCTTCTCTTCAATAAAATTGGAGAAGAGGGCAGAACAGGTTCTGCCCTCTGGATGTGAGGGGAGTGGTAGAGAGGGGGAGCAGGGGGCAGGGGTGAGGAATGGCCCAAACAATGTATGTACATATGAATGAATTAATTTTGAAAAGACCAGAAAAAAATAAAAATAAAATGGACAACAAAAAAATAGAGAAAGTGCCTTTCTAGCAAGTGTGAGGCCCTGAGTTCAAACTCCAGCACTGCAAAAAAAAAAAAAAAAGAGCCTGTCTAGCAAGAGCTATGCCCTTATCCATCCATGTTGTTATGTGTCCTTCTAATGTGCTTCTGCTCATTTCACTGTCCTCTCCTCTAGTGATAGAAACCTACACTTCCTTCCAACCCCTAATCATAGATGAAACTGAAGAATATATCCTGATGCATGTTGGTCTTACAGAGAATTTAGAAGTGGAATTACTGCACTGTTAAGATGTACCAAGATGTCTTACCTAAAAAACTAGCTAGTATTTGTTGCCCTTAATGCAGAGAAACTAAAGCAGATATCTTAAAGCAACTGAGGCCAATAGGAAAGGAGAACAGGTACTAGAGAAAAGGTTAGATCAAAAAGAATTAACCTAGAAGGTAACACCCACGCACAGGAAATCAATGTGAGTCAATGCCCTGTATAGCTATCCTTATCTCAACCAGCAAAAACCCTTGTTCCTTCCTATTATTGCTTATACTCTCTCTACAACAAAATTAGAAAGAAGGGCAAAATAGTTTCTGCTGGGTATTGGGGGGGGGGGGAGGGGGCGGAGTGGGTGGTAAGGGAGGGGGTGGGGGCAGGGGGGAGAAATGAACCAAGCCTTGTATGCACATATGAATAATAAAAGAAAAATGAAAAAAAAAAAAAGATGTACCAAGAGCTATGTGGCTAAGTATTGGTGCTGGATTGCTTTTTTAGAATGGTTACACCAGTATATAATTCTACCAGCAGTGTTGGTTCCTAAAGGGAACTCGCCAATACTTGGCATTATCTGACTTTCTAATTTTTACCAAACTGGTAGCATAATGTGATGATGTAGCTAATCCCTCTGGGTTTTCTATTTCAGTTGGATGTTCTTGTCTTCTGCCCATTTCTGTATGAAAGTTGTACTGTTTTTGTTTTGCTACGGATTGAACCCAGGGCCTCCCAGTGCTAGGCAAGCACTATACTATTGATCTATGCATATCCCCAGCCCATGAAGCTGCTGCCTTTTAAAAACACTGATTTGTAGTAACTTTGTCCTTGATATTCTTGTTCAGTTTGGAAAGTGTTAATTTTGACATGATTGAGTTAATCATGTCCTTACCTGTGCTTCATGCTCTTTTTCAGAAGTCCTTCCCTCACTCAACACAGAAATATTCTCCTGAATTGTATCTGATTAACTATATGATCTTATCATCCCCTGCAGGTCTTTATCATACTTTTATTCATGGCATTATATAAGTAAACAGTTTTACTTTTTGTCATATAAATGCATCCATCCCCCTTGATATATGTAGCAACCTTATATTACATTCCCAAGTTATATATGGCTCTGTTTCATAGCTGTGTTCTGTTCTGTTGAACTGTTTGTTTGCTCTTGTGCTAATTCGACCACATTTTAATTTCTTTCACTTTTGTATAGATTTTGAGGAGCAAGAATATATCCTAACATGTTTGCTCTTCTGTTTGATAGTTGGTTTGGCTGTAGGTAGTATTTTATTGTTTCTATGTAGACTTTCCTAAAAATTTTGTTTAAAATTGTATAAGTTGATTCAAAGAAAGTTAGTATTTTATAATATTCATTTGTTCCACCCAAGACCCCATGTTTCTAATCTTCTGTATATTATTAGATCTTACATATTATTGATTAGTTCCTATATCCTTTATAGGTTTGGGTAGTTTCTTTGTTTTGTTTTTCCTACTACAGAAAGTACTTACATAATATATTTTCTAGTTAATATTGCTGTTACAGAAATAAGAGTATAAGTTGATAATTTTACCCCTTTTCTTCTAGTTCTTACATCTATCATTTATTTATAACATTGAGTACGATTTTCAGGACCATGTTAGACAATGTCAGTCATTATCATGGTTATTCTTTTTTAACTTCACTTTTAAAGGGAATATTTCTGATCTCATTTGCTTAAATTTTAGGTAGATAAACTTTACCAAGTTGAGAAAGGTAATTGCTCTTTCTAGTTTTGTAAGACCATTTTTTATGTTTTTATAACAAGTATCAATCAGGAACTAAGAAAGAGTAAATGTCCACTTGATAGAATTAGGGGTTTTTTTTCCCTTTTACTTTGGAAACTTAAAAGTTTTCTGAAGTTGACCTATTCTTTGTAGGATAAGCGTCATCTGTAAGATAGAGGAAAAAATCTATAAGGCTTTTTCTTCTTTCTTTAATGTACTGCTGGATTCTATTAAATAAAATGAATGATTTTTGTAAGTAAAATGAACTGCATTTATCTAGTTTGTCTCTAAGCTTGCAATTTTTTATTCTCATAAAAGGAACTGGTCAATTTTTATGTCTTTTTTTTTTTTTCCTGAAACAGCTCGTATAAAATTGGTCATATGACTACCACCTCTGTGATCCAGCAGGAGTTCTAATATCTGGCAGCTTTACCACCTCTGAGATCCAACAGGAGTCCTAATATCTGGCAGTCCTAATATTTTAGGGGGCCAGCACAGGCCCCCTAAAACTAATACCAACAAACATATCCAAAGGTAAAAAGATAAACTTTTTATTTATAGTTTGGGGCATAAGAGATCTGCTTTTGAAGAAGTAGTTTTTGGGTGAGAACTGCATCCTTAAAAAACCAACAGAGGATTAAAACGGCCCTGGACTGTTCCACAATTTGGTGATTCAAAAAGAACTACCCCCTACAAGGAAAATGGCCTAAGCCTCTAAGATAGAGAGGGGAAGATGTATAAGGCTTTTGTTCAGCATACATATTCTTGAAAGCCTAAAATTGGATGGACAGTTCTGTTATTTAGTGCTTTCTGGCTTTAATATCATGTCTCTAGTTTTCTCATTCACAGGGTAAGGCTACTTTTCCAGATAGTTCAGCCTCTGAGTCACCAGTTTCCAAGGGCATTTGCATCACCTATGGCAAACATCGGATCCTTGCACACCAGATGTCCTTGACAACTCATCCCATCATACCCACTGCACAGAAGTTGCTCCATCAGCAGACACCCTGGCAACTACTGAGCTTTTTCCCACAAAATAGATACAGAATCACTGCCAACAAAACAGTGTATAAGCGTCTCTTCACAGTATCACTACCGGTTGAAACTGAGAGAATCAGTGGGCCTAGATGAGGACCCTTCTCTTCTTGGGTAGCCAGGTTTGAAGGAGATATTCTGTGACCTGTGCCACTGGTAAGTCACTAACACTTTTACACACTGAACTGATCCTGAGGACTAAAATGTCTTTGTAAGTGAAGAATACACAACATAATCTTGAAGAATTGTACAGTGGTGTGGGCCAAAGGCTTTACTTTGTGTAACAGACTGAGAGACAGACAAATTAATCTTGATGAAAAGATTTTTGATTCATATTTCTATTTATGTTAGTCAGTTTCTGCTGACTTAGATTGTTACCTTTTTCTGGTTCCTTACTCTGCTTTATTCTAATGGGTCCCAGAAATCCCTCTCCTGACCGCTTAACAGAATCAGAGAGTGGGGAAGAAGAAAGCATTAGCTACCTAAATGAGAGTTCTGGGGAAGAGTGGGATTCCTCTGAAGAAGAGGACCCCATGATACCCAACCTAACACCTCTGGAGAGTCTTGCCTGGCAGGTTAAGTGCCTTCTGAAATATTCTACAACTTGGAAACCTTTAAATCCTAATTCCTGGTTATATCATGCTAAACTTTTGGATCCAAGCACTCCAGTCCATATACTTCGAGAGATAGGTCTAAGACTCTCCCATTGTTCCCATTGTGTCCCCAAACTGGAACCAATTCCTGAATGGCCCCCTCTGGCCTCTTGTGGAGTTCCTCCTTTTCAAAAGCCCCTCACAAGTCCCAGCCGACTCTCTAGACATCATGCCACTCTAAATGGAGCACTGCAATTTGCCACCAGACAGTTAAGCCGAACATTGAGTAGAGCCACTCCCATACCTGAATACTTAAAACAGATCCCTAATTCTTGTGTTTCTGGTTGTTGCTGTGGCTGGCTAACTAAAACAGTTAAGGAAACAACCCGTACTGAACCCATCAACACTACTTACTCCTATACTGACTTCCAAAAGGCAGTTAACAAACTCCTAACTGCATCACTGTAAAGGTCAGCATTTGTCCTGATATCCCTGATGTTTCTATTTAAGAAAAGAATACAGAATCAATCACTACCCAGCCTACAGTTGAGAAACCCATACCTTCTCAACCAAATTATGCCATGTCTTGACAAGCTAAAGTACTACAAAGTACTGAATTGCCCAAGAGTTCTATAATCCACCTGTAGGAAGTGTAGATTGTAAATATGCCTTCCGACAGACCCTGTGGATAAAATGAGAACTTTAATGAAGAAATTAATCAGAAGATACCATTAAAAGATAAGTTGCATATTCTCCATACTCAGTATTTACCCCACCCCAATTTATACGATCTATCTAAATCTACTTTATCTAGTTACCTGATAATTAATGGGAAGGGAAAATACGCCATTACCCCTTTTGTTACTTAACCATCATAACAGCCTTGAAAAGGTGTGACACAAACATCAGAAAACCAGGATTTGACTACCCACAATAAAACCTTTGTTGAACATGGTGGTCTTTGCAGACTATTATTTCTAGGAATATAGTTGAACTGAACTTAATAACTGCAAAAAGGGAAAATGTGAGAATATGGACTTCTCTCCCAGCTTTTATACAGATGTACCTACACCTATACCCATCAGGAGTTCCTGTTTTTTGTGGGGAGTGCAGTTTCAGACCTTTTCTGCCCTATTCCAAACACCTTATGATGCCTTGCAAATACAGCATGGACATTCTAAACCATAAGCTCCCACCAGGCTGTCTGGCTAAACTGACCGTGAAGACCACTCCCTGGGTTTAAACAAACTCTTGTTTATCAGGAATATGCTTCCTGAATCTTAGCACCAAGACTTTTGTCAATAGCAAATAAAATACATTCCAAAAGCTGAAGGATTAAGGCAGAACGTATGTTTTCAGTATTAACTGCCAAGGATTGAAATATTTCATCTTTATAACTTTTCCTGGAGCATGGGATTTTATACACCCTATCTACTTCAAACAGTTTAGGAGCCTTCTAATTTTATGGAACCTTCCTATAGAAAATCTCATCCCAGCACATCTAAATTTAAGAGTTTTATTAGCAGCTTTGTTTTTCTAAGTAGATGTAGCTTTAGATTTTCTTAGAGCTGAACAAGGAAGAGTATGTGCCCCTGTAAATGAGGTTTGCTGTGTTTATTTAAATGAGTCAAAAAGTAGAAATTGACATGTATAAAATGCATGAGACTGTTAAGTCTTTTCACATACCCTACAAAAAAGAGCAAAACCTATGTGTAATCCTGGATAACTGAGCATTTAGAGGGAGTCAGAAAACAGATGGTTAAAAATATGTCATATACCCTCTTTATTTTAGTTTTTTTTCCTATTCTCCATAATAGTTGTGTTCAAGGTGGATTCCAAAAATTGACGCATCAATGGAATCACAAATTCTGTAAATGTGTAAGTTTAAGGAGAGTGAAGAGTGCTTATAACCTTATGAGTATTTATACTGAGCCTTAGCTGTCCTGTTTTAAGGAAAAGGGGGGAATTGGTAGTAGGAATTACTGACCTGAAACCATAGCACACTGTTAGTGTAACTGAATGTGTAGGAAACTGCTCTATGTGGATGTGTAAAATTAGATTTCAAAATGTTGCAAGAACATGTTTGGTTTTGTTTTTTTTTTTAAGGGGAAGGGGTGGGAAGAAGTAGGAAAGAAGTCTGGAAATTACAATATATTGATGTTTATGTATCCATAGTATGTTTCTTTTTCTCTGTGTGTGTATAAAAGTGCCTTGCTCATGAATGCATTTTTGCTACTGACTCTGAAAGGAAGCTTTTCCCTAGCTTGGCAGCTGAATAAACCAGTAGCTTTCTACATGCTGAACAGAGTATGGTCATTTGTCCTCAACAAAGGAAATACAGCCTTCTTTACTTAAAGCATATTCAACATTCACTAAGTACTGAATGCAGTTAATAGATAAACTATCTGTGTCTATATGGTATCTGTGAGGTATATAGTATCTAAGTAATCCCCAGTCCCACAGAATCCCTGGATAAGCCTTAAATTTCTGCTGCTTTTTGCATGCTACAGACTTGGGGTTGGGGGTGAATTTATCACTTTCACATTCTCCCTATGTGGGCCTCTGATTAAAAGCAGTCACCATAATTAGGATAAAGAAAGATGAATTTATCCACTATTTATAAACCAGTTGACATTAATAAGTTATTTAAGGGTGTGTTTTGTTTGTTTTCAGTGCAGACTGGCAGGCTTTTTGTTGAAGCAGTCCACAAACTTGAGCCTAGAAGACCATGGTCATGGCTTTTAATCTCTGCTTCATACATGGCAGGAGGACAGATGGTGGGTCCTCTCCAAGGGATTTTTCTGCTGGGGCTCCTATCCCACCTGTCCATCTAAAAAAAAATGTCCTCTATAATGAATACAGTGTTGTATTAGATTGTTAAAGTAATTGAGGACCTTGAGGTCACTTGGGTTATTTTCTTACAGATGCATAAATTGTTTTACATGCTTAATAAAATGACTTTCTACTTTGGACTCCAGCATTAAAGAATGCAGTGTCCTTTAAAACAGCCCATTAGTTTAAAATATCTCTTGTTAGAAATTTAGTAATTCACCCAATAATATAGAGGAGTACCTACTGTATGTAGTTCAGACACTGGAGTGTAATGCAGCATTATATGGGGTACTACACATAAGAAATTAGTTACTACACAGACCAATAAACATTACCCCAATCCATTTCTTTTCTCTAGGATCAAGTTAAATAAGCCTAAATCCAAATCCATATACCGGCCCCTCCTAATATTTGAAAATGACTTATGGTTGAAGATTGTACAAAAGAATTGAGTGGAGCCGGGTTAGGTGGTGCACATCTTAATCCCTCCACTCAGGATTCTGAAGGAGGAGGATTCCAGCCTGGGCTACATTCTGAGACACTGTCTCAAAAAACCAAAAGAAAGAAACGAGTGGAGCCGCTATCCCAAGTGTAGTGGAGATTGGTGGAGGATTCACTCCAAAAAATAAGCTCCACAAAGAGTAGTCAGCCAAGGAATGGATAAAGTGGGTCAGTATTTTATGTACAGATTTAAGTTCCATGTGCTAGTTTCACAAGGCCATTGCACACAAAGATCTAGGCTGGAAGCATTTTGCTCAAATGACTAAAGTATGTAGAAAAGTTCAGAAAGTGTAAACTTCTCAGACCTATGAGACAACTGTGCAGGCTGCTGGCATGTTAGTCTACCAGTGAGCAGTATCTTCTAAACTCAAGGAAGTAGGGACCTGCACTCTGGCACCAGGTATTTCTTGTGTGTCACCTTGGTGTTGCCAAAAGGAAAATACATATTTTTGGCAAGTTTTTTAAAAAAATTTTTTGGCAGTTCCTGGGGTTTAAACGAGGCAGGTGCTTTGTCACTTCAGCTACACCCACGGCCCTTTTTGCTTTGGTTATTTTCTAGATAGGGTCTTGCACTTTTTTGCCCAGGCCAGCCTCAGTCTGAGGTCCTTCTACCTATGCCTTCCACATGGCTGGGATTACAGAAATGGGCTACCATACTCTTCTTGCTCTTTGAAATAAGTCTCACTGGTTTTGGCCCATCCTGGCATTGAACCATGGTCATCCTATCTGGGCCTCCCAAGTATCTGGGGTTACAGGTGTGAGCCATCACAATGAGCTATCTTTAGCAATCTTGAAGTCTAATTAATAGCTACATATTTGAGCCGGTAATATGCTCAGTTCTTCCTTTCACATGGTTGCAACAGTGAGATTATATGCTCACTTTGGAATAAGACCAAGAAAATGGACAGGGTAAGAACACCACAGTGACCTGACACATGGCTACCACCTCCTGTGAGCTGGGAGAAGTGCAACCAGTTCTCAACAAGATGTGGGAAACGAATCCCTGATTTTTAAAAATATTTGAAAATAACAATGCAGCAGGAAGACAGCACTAGGACTGTTTACTTCTAATTGGTGTGGTGTTAGTGAATAATACCAGCAACATGTTACAGTTGGATTATAAAACAGTACCTTCACTCAAATTTGGTTAGTTTATTTGGAAAAACTTAGATGGCTCTAACACGTGATAAGAAAATTCCTGGAATCGTTCCTGGAGTCAGGACATGTGTAAACAGTAATCTAGGAGACTCAGGATCCTGGTTGGCCTAAGGAGACTGAGTTCCCAATTTATGCAAACTAAGCTGGTGTAGTATTAAATTGCAACAGGAACCAGTTGTTACTAAGTTAAGGAGCTAGTATCTTCCTGCTGAGTCTATACCCAATACAACCTTTCCATCAGTGGTATCAGTAAAATGATGTTTTACAATGGATTAAATAGGCAATGGCCCAGGAGGAGCAACTTGGGGACAACTCTGGGGATCCTGAAAGAAGGATCCAAGGGTATAATCATCTTCTATTAAAAAAAAAAAAACCTAGATTGACTTTATGATCACACCCCAAGTAAACAGAATGGTCTGAAAGAGTGGTGGAACTCTGGTGACACAAATCCCTATACTAATTGAAGGACGGCATTGATGTTGGTCCCAGCCAGTGCATTCTCTGGGGACTTAGTGTGTGGCTTGTTTGCCCTGGCTCTGTAGGAAAGTGAGTCTTCTCTGGTGATTCGAGTGCTTTGGTCCAGAGACCAGTTACTGTATTTGAACCCAGCTTCTCTATGTTAGTCTTAGTCTCTTTAGGATATATTTCTTTAAATGTGTAAGGTTGCCAAATTTAGCAAATAATAATACAGGACCTAGCACAAAGAAGAAGTAGTAATACAGGAATTTCATATAGGACACATATCAGGAAAACAATATCTCTGAAATACGAATTTAACTGGCTCCCTATGTTTTAGGTGGCAGCCCTATAAATGTCTTGGTAGCATTAAGCTTGGACTGTCCTACAGTTATGTGCTAAACAACTGGTTCCATTGTGTGTTACTTTCTTACCTCTACTTATTGGGATGAGGGAGGTTCACACCTAGTTAACCCAAGGTTAGAAGGTTGAGGGATGAAAGAGTATGCTTGTTTGCAGAGTAGAGACTTTTTATATGAGATGCATGATATTTAGTTAAAATGACCATGTAACAATTACATCATTTCCAGACATAACCCATTTTGAAAATGCATTCTCCATAGTGGGCAGTTTGGGTTTGTTTCTTGCTAGTCAGGCATTCTACTGCATGAGCTACTTCAAGCCCCTGTTGTTTCTTAATTGTGTGTTTTAACCAGTTACTTTCTCACTCTCCTTTAACATGAAGGTAAAGATTAAGTGTATTACTCTCTTTTGTTTAAATACTTGATAGGTAGCACAGTTCTGGCAGCCATTCTTCATCGCAGAAAAGGTCTACAAATTTGGATCATCAATCTTTGCCTTCCAGAGCCCACAACAGACTCAAGGATTTGAAGGCACAAGGTACCCTGGGAGGTGGGGGTGAGAAGCAAAGTTGGAAACAAGGGAATTAGTGAAGGTATATTTTTGCCCTCCTGTTATAGCTAGGCCTCAGACTCTTTCTAACAGAAAATAGAAGGTTTGTTATCTGGAGAAACTGAACCAAACAGAACGGAGGGATGAGAGAGTCTGGCAGTGAGTAGTGATATGCTGTGTTGAAGATAGAAGAATGCCAGTGTCGTGAACACTGTGAGCCTCCAGTATACTTTCTCTACTGGCTAAACTGGGATGATAAACCCTGTCCTGCCCACCCCACACAAAAAGATGAACACTGAAAAAAAAAAAAGTATGACACTTAATATTTGTTACAGTGAGACCCAGAGTCTGCAAAGCCAGCTCATTCATACACAGCTTATAGGCACTTGAAATCACTTTATATTGATTAGCCAAGAATTGCTAGACATTTAAAGAAGCCTTCAACATGAAAGATGAACAAAAATCTCCCGAAAGAAGCAGTGATATTCTCAAAAACAGGAGGACATATTGCATGCTTGAAATAAGAACAAGATGCTTTAAAATCATAAAATAAAGGCTATTAGAAAAATAGAAACATTAAATATTCAGTAGATGTTTTAGAAAATAAGTTGCAGTCATTTCAGAAAGTAGAAAAGGTAGAGATGTCAAGTAGGCGGACAAAAAATTAGAAGATCAGGATGAGATCCAACAACAAATGAATTCTAAAATGAGAGAACAGAGAAGGTGGAGAGAGGAAAAAAATAACATTTCCTGAAAATGCGGTATGTTAGTCTCCTAAATAAAAGAACTGAATTTCAAAAATTCAGCACACTGAATTAAAAAACAAAAGTACATCATGATACCATGATGCCATGGTAAAAGGAGATCCAGAAAGCTTCCAAAGAAGAGGAAAAACAGGTTACATAAAACAGACATTTGCAGAATGACATTCAGACTTCAGATAATAATGGATGCTGAAAGACTATAAAAGAAAGGCCTCACACATGAAAGGAAAAAGTATCCCCAACCTAGAATTCTGTGCCCAGACAATCCAATCAAGTATGGGGCTGAAATGTACATATTTTATAACCTGTCTGGTCTCAAATTTTTATCTCACCATCTACCCTTCTTTAGGAGATGTTGGAGAATGTGCTTCACCAAACAAGGGAGTAATCTAAGAAGGTATAGAACACTGAAACCATAATGTCTCACAAATGAAAGCAGTGAAGGAAAGTCTCAGAAAACTGTTCCGAGTAAGTAGGAAGGGGGCTCTAGGAATAAGGTCTCTAGGAAAACATGGAACAAAGTGAGCACAGAAAAAATGTAGAAAAGATTAAGACAAATGTTGGGATACTAGGGAAGAAAGATGAGCACGTGGGAAACTAGATTCATGACAAAATAAGGCAAGTAAAATTATACACAACACATTTTGGATGAGTGTTCCTGTCACAAGAATAAAATTTTATTTCTTAAAAATTATAATTTCCTAACCAAATTTTAGAAGTTTGGCATTACAAATATAGTACAGTTGAAATATTGTCAGTTCTCCACAGTTCTGATAGATGTTTGCTTTCACTGAAATGAGCACTATAGAAGATACTTTCCCAAAAAAGGCTTTCAACACTTGTTTTATAAAAGGAATTAGACCCTTGATTAAGCAAATGTCAATTTTTTATTTATA